AGAGGGTTTGAGCTGGGCCTTGCAGGGCCTGTAGCAACCAGTGACTGTCCACAGCCTGTGCTGCCTACCTGACTCCCCCATAGGGGCTGTGGCCGACTCTGTGCTGCTGCCCTTCCCTGGTTTGGCTGTTTTCTTTCCTATGTCTATATTTTGGCTCCTGCTGACTCTTCTGTGACATAAATAAAGATGAGACAATAGACAAACCAACTTCAAAGCCAAGGAAGCTGCTGGAGTTGTCCCCATGGTCCCCTGCTGGGCAGGGAACTGGGCAGAGGTGATGGCCATGTCCATCCATCATGGCCCTCTCTCTAGGGCTCAGCCAGGTGGGGAGCCTCTCAGGATCCCCCTAGACCTCTAAGTGGTCAAGAAGAGGCCACAGCCAGGAGGCAGAGCCTCAGGCTAATAACACGAGCAGCTAGCATTGCTTACCACTGGTTTTCCCAGGTTGTTTCTTAATCACTGTGACCTTAGTTCAAAGGCTTCTCTGTGCGGAACCCCAGAGTATAAAATGGAGTGACCCAGAGCTCACCTCTCTGCCCACCCCTCTGGGGCCCTGAAGCTCTTCCACCAAACCCAGGCTCCTTAGGGCACAAGTAGCTTGAAAACAACTCACACACAGGATGTGACCCAAACTTCTGAAGCTCGTTACAACCCTCCCCTCCGTCCCCGTAACACCTCTCCAGCCCCAACTCTGGTCACACCAGATACCCCTTTTCCTGTCCTCCCCTCATGTATTTTGATATGAGCTGCTTTGTCACCCAGGGATGCCCTCGCTCCCATTCTTCTCCTGGAAAGCGCCTAGTCCTCCTTCAAGACCCCAGCCAGGATGTCACCTCCTCCAGGAACTTACTGCTATGGTCTAAACGTTTGTGTTCCCCCGAAATTCATACATTGCAACCTAATCCTCAATGTGATAGTATGAGAAGGTGGAGCCTCTGGGAGGGGTTGAGGTCACGAGGGCAGAGACCTTATGAATGGGGTTAGTGCCTTTGTAAGAGAGGCCCCAGAGAGCTGCCTCGCCACTTCCACCACGTGAGGACACAGCAAGAAGGCACCATCTACAAACCAGAGAGCAGCCTTCGCCAGACACAGGACTGACCAGAGCTTTGATCTTGGACTTCCAGCCTCCAGAACCGTGAGAAACAAATTTCTGTTGTTTACAAGCCACCCAGTCTGTAGCTTTTTGTTACAGCAGCCTGAATGGTCGAGGACACTTACCTTGCCTCCTTCCCCAACCCCCACACACGCCATGGTGGTCCCTCCTTCCTCTCTCCATACTCCAACCTCCTTGCCATCACGGTGTCATTACTTCTACAGTGTTTGAAGCCTCCCTTTCCCTGTGTGCCTGCCACATGAGTCTGGACTCCTTCAGGGCCTGGTGTCTTCCCACCTCTGAGTTCCTTGGGCTGGGTCCTGTAGGTGCCCCATGAGTCACTGCTTGTTGCAGAACTGTGGCAGCCAAAAGGGACCTTGGCTCGCTGGACTCTGTGGTGGGATCTGGGCCACTTAAATGTGTTTAGGACACAGCTCAGGGCTCTTCTCGAAGCCACATAAAGTGGCTGATCCAGAGTCATTGCTAATCTTGAGAGGGAGGCCCAGGGAAGACATGGCCATGAGACTGGCCTCCCAAAGGTGCCGTACCATCCCTCCCAGGGCCCCTGGGCTCCCTCTGTGTTTGTGATGCGGCCTCAGAACACGGGTTTACAGGCTGCAAGCAGCATTGGGCCCCAACCATTCCCTCTAGCCCAGCAGGAAACAGGTATCTGTGCCTAACTAGAGCAAAAGGTCACTTCCTGGGCCAGGGTAACCATGGAAACACCATCCCCCAAACCCCCCACAGCCTTGGACTAACCAAGTGTGCTCATAAGCTCTGTTTTGTTTGCATTTACAGTTTCAGGCTAAGGAAGGCCTTGTGCTGCTTTTAGAGCCCTGGATAAATGTCCAGACAACCTGGACATTCCTGGTACTGCCGTGGGCTGGCAGGGGCTTCAGCAAACCCCTCAGCCTTCTGGCTTAGTTTTCTCAGCTGTAAAAGGAAGAAGTTGATTTGAACGAAAGGTGATCAGAAGTGTGCCGTAGGAAACTTAGGGGTTCCAGTGAACATTACAATACTTCTGCCGCGCAAAGTGCTTCCCCTGGAGAAAACCTTTTATTAACTTTATATGTCACATGCGTTAAAGATATGGGTAAGATTTTTTGCTTAAGAAAGAAAAAAGATTTTCAATGATTGAAAAAACAAACACCTGAAAACTGCTGGGTATGATTTTTTTTTATTGCATTTAGAAGTCTAAACAGTGCACACTGAAATGGTGGTAGGTTCTCACAGATTAAGACTGGTAGAATCGGGCTGACCCTGTGGCGCACTCGGGAGAGTGCGGCACTGGGAGCGCAGTGACGCTCCCGCCGCGGGTTCGGATCCTATATAGGCATGGCCGGTGAGCGCGGTGCGGGGGACACCACACCAAGGGTTGCGATCCCCTTACCGGTCATGAAAAAGACAAAAAAAAAAAAAAAGACTGGGAGAATCTGAGAGAAGACCTGCTTCCGGTCTCCGAGCCCGGGAGGGGGGGGGGGGGGGCAGTGGGAGCGCAGTGACGCTCCCGCCGCGGGTTCGGATCCTATATAGGCATGGCCGGTGAGCGCGGTGCGGGGGACACCACACCAAGGGTTGCGATCCCCTTACCGGTCATGAAAAAGACAAAAAAAAAAAAAAAGACTGGGAGAATCTGAGAGAAGACCTGCTTCCGGTCTCCGAGCCCGGGAGGGGGGGGGGGGGGGCAGTGGGAGCGCAGTGACGCTCCCGCCGCGGGTTCGGATCCTATATAGGCATGGCCGGTGAGCGCGGTGCGGGGGACACCACACCAAGGGTTGCGATCCCCTTACCGGTCATGAAAAAGACAAAAAAAAAAAAAAAAAAAAAAAAAAAAAGACTGGTAGAATCTGAGAGAAGACCTGCTTCCTGTCTCCCAGCCCGTAAACCGCTGTTGTTTTCATGACTGTTGTTATCCGTCCTAGGCTGTGGTCTGAGGGCCTGGCAGGGGAGCAGGCTGGCTCTTTAGCAGGCACAAACTGCCTCAAAGCCTACGGCCAGGCTCAGCCCCAGGACGGCAGAGATGGCCCCTGTCTGGAAGGTTAGGCAGCCCATAGTCAGGGGCAAGGAACCCCACTTGGAGTGGTGGGAAAGCCTCTTTCCTCCCTATGACTTGTCTTTAATGTAGAAATTTCTACCATGTGAAATTTAATCTTTGCATATATCATTGTGTTCTTTAAACTCTTCTTTCAAACCTCCCTCTTTCTTCTCCAGGGGGTACTGAGATGGTTAGCCGAGCTTCTCCCTGGCAGGGGGTCCTGGGTGCCTGGGAGGGAAGGAATAGATGCTAGAAAAGGAAGGTGGGGGGTGAGGACTGGCAGAAATGGGGCGAGGTGGGTGGAAACCACAGACAGGCACTATAGCCGCTGCCCCAGCGCTGTCTTTGGGGGCCCATGGCCTGCTGCCAAGATTGTTAAACCCTGGTGGAAAAGTTTCCCTTTTTCTGTTTAGACTCCCAGCATTCAATCCTGGCCAGTAGCAGAAGCTGTTGGAATTCTGGAATAAGAACTGGGGCAAGAAGATGGAGAAGCTGTCATGGCCCCGGGCTGAGTGAGGACACAGCAGTGCCAGCACATCCCACTCTTGCTGCCACCCCCAGGGCCAGGGAATTACTTCCCTCATGGGCAGCTCTGACAGCCACGGGTACCCCAAAGGGCACCTACAGCCCCCCTGGGTTCGTGCCCAGCTGGGGACATGGGCCTGCATCACCCCAGTTGTCCAGGCCACCCAAGTCAAGCAAATGAGAGTTACTTTAAAATCAGATTTGGATGCACACCAAACCAGAATTCTGTTTCTAAGGAAAGTGCTGGGATTGTGGACAGAGGCCAAAGGGGCTTTTAGTCTTATCTGCAATGTTCTATTTTTTTTTTTCCTCCAAGGAAAATGTATTCTTGGACTACTTGTGCAATTAAAAAAAAAAAAGAAAAAAACACCTTTTTTTTTTCTTTTTTTTAAGATCAAGCTTAAAGAACTTACTGTCAAAATACCAAGTTTTTACAAGAGACTCCAAACGTGTTCCTTTTCAGAGGTGGGAGGCAGGGGGGAATCACTGGCTCAGACTGTGCTTCTGACTTGCTGAATAGTTGGGAATCAGATTCGGCTTTGTGGGCCTCAGTTTCCCCATATGTACCACAGGAAGATGGGCCAGTAGTCTCCACGGTCCTCCCATCCCTGACATCAGGTAACAAGAAGCGTCACTCTGCCTGGGTTCCTCGTGGGCCCTGACTGAGGCAGTCAGAGCTGATTTCAGACGCAGCGTCCTCTAGGTGTGAACCCTCAGAGGCATGGGCTGCTGGTTTGGGAGTGGCCATGGGGTCACAGCACAGTACCCTTGGGGGCTCTTTGGGCACAGCTGAGCTTCCTTCCTGGACACAGTTATGCCAGGCCCCAGAAACCTTCAGCGTATCCCAGCCTCAGTGCAGTCAGAACAAATGCTGGCCTGCGAGCTGGGTTAGTCACTTCTCTCTTTGTGCTTGGGATTGGACAGCCACGATCTGCGGATGTCATTAAGACAGAGAGGGTCTGGTTAGGGATGTTGGCCCAGTGACCCTGCCCCCAGCACCAGTCACTATGACAACAGTTCAATAGGGTCCCAAGGGTCTAAGAATCCTGCTTCCACTGAGGGCGAGGTTGGCTGAGGTCAGACAAAGAGGGATTAATAGAGCCCTGTTCTCATCAAGCCACAAAGCGCCATTATTACTAGTTGCAACAGCCCTACCAGGAGATGGATCATTCTTTCAAGTGACAGAGAATCCAGCAAACTGAATGAGTGGTTCTTGCATCAGCCACAAAGTCACCCTGGAGCCCAGACTTAGCGACGGAGGAGAAAAACTAGAAAAAACCCAAATGTCCAACAAACAGTTACATAAAGCATGATACAGCCATAAAATAGCACAATTGCAGTCATTCAAATGATGATGTTAATTATATTTATTACATTAAAATCCTCATGATACATGTAAATAAGTTCACAAAAACTTCCAATAAGTGACATTTTTGTAAAAAAAACCATATGCATATCTATATACAGTAAAATATTTCAAAATGTTAGCAGCAGTTATTGTTGAAAAGCAAAATCAGGTGCAATTTTTTTCTTTCAGTTTACTTATATATTCTGTAATAAACATATACTCCTCTTGTATATCGAAAAACTTTTATTCTCTTAAAAACTGGTGCAGAGAATTAGAAGGTGATCGTTCTTTCTCTCTGGAGTCAAACTTCAATTAACGAAACCCATGAGAGGACACTGTTTTGGAAAGGCAAGCTTTCTTTATAACTAATATTTTATTAATTCAAATACTAATACTTAAAAAATGTTTTACATTAACGAGTGTATAAGAAAAGTATTCTAAACAGCACTGCATGTTATTATGCCTTCTTATAACAGAGTACAATAAAAATAGTTCATCATTAGCTTTATCATCATGAAGAGTCCAAATTCTACCATATTACATAACAAATGATCTTCAGGACTATCGGATGAGCAAGTGTTTGGGCCTGCATTAAGTGGCCTCGGATTTCTGTACTTATTAGGTATCTAGATTTGCTTTTTATAGATTTTCAGTCTCCTGCACTGCTGATAAACCATCAGTCTCAGTATTCCACCTGTAGCAACGCTTTCCCACTCTCTCTGATTTGGTGCTTCTAATATTCTGTCATTTTGGAACAAACAAATACACCTGTTAGAAGTCTGAATCAACTATGAGAGCATAGATCTAAGCAAAGGCTTTAAAGTGAAGACACAGGTGAGCTGAGATCCAGATGGGGAGGTGTCCAAAACTGGTGGCTCTTGTAGGCTGGAGTTACATTATGAAATATCATGGAAATCATGTTAAAGAGTTTGGATTTTATATTAAGGACGAGTGGGAGCCATAGAAGAATTTCAAGAAGAGAAGCAAGGTGCTGTTAAAAAACAAAATCACATTAAAACTAGTTTTGTGGATCTTACTTAGCTTTATTTGCGATTCTAGAGTTGGGTAGCAGCCAGAACCAAAAATGGTTCAGAATGCTTCACCCCACCATATTTAAAGCCAGAGAAAAGGAAGTGACATGCAGAAACAACCTGATTGGTTACAGCTCCATGTCTGCCTTATTTGGGCGTGGTTTGATGAGGCATTTGTAGCCTGTGATTGGTGAGACTTTGCTACTTATGATAAGAATGTACTTCTAGGTTAGGTTACACTCTGCTTACAAATCAGATTGGGTTACATTTCACCATGTGGAGAAACCTTTATACCAAACTTAAAATATGTATGGAGGCAGCTTTAGGCCAAACTTTTTTTCAATTTAACTGTGCTCATATTCGTGTTTTTTCAAAGACTGTTGGGACAAAGACAATTTAGTGAGTGGCAAAACTGTTGGTAGGAAGACAGATGTGGGGTCTGGAAATACACAGGGAAGGAAATTGGGCTGTGAGAAGGTAGGTTATCAGATACATTATACAAGGCATCTAAAAAGTTCATGGAAAATAGAATTAAAAGATTATACAATCTTCCAAGAACTTTTTTTTCCCCCAAGAACGTTTTGAACTACCCTCATATATGTGTTGTCTTTCAGCAGATAAATCCAAACTCATTCTCCCTTCAAGAGGAACCACGGGAGAGATTTATTTCTGTCCTCCATGCTAGGAGAAGCCATGTCTCTCCTAAACTATAGGTATATTTTTATGTCATATTGTAAATATGTACATCATGCGAATAATTGCATTTTCCTCTTTGTTTTGGTCACTGGGAAGCTCTGTGTATACAATTCTACACACTGACTTAACCCTCAGATATATACTTTCATTTTGCCAGAATTCTTTATTTATGGTATCTTTTGTCTCATTTGGATTTTCAAAAGTGGCATCAAATTATTTTTGGAATGGAGTGTAATAAAATATATATTTTAAGAGTCTGAGCTTTAAAAAAAAATCAATGCTCTTAAACAGATTCTCAAATCCTTATGATTGTTCATTCAGTAGATTTTTTTAAAAGCTAAGACTATTTTGGTATTGGCATATTTCTCCATGTTAAATATTGCTTTAAAAACTGGGAAGTTTATGACACCAAAAGCACGGTCACTAAAGAAAAAGTGGATACACTGGACTTCATCAAAATTTAGAACTTGTGCTTCAAAGGACACTATCAAGAAGGTGCAAAGATAGCTCACAGAATGGGAGAAAATATTTGCAAGTCATATATCTGATAAGGGACTTACATCTAGGATACATAAGAAACTCTTGCAACTCAATAATAAAAAGACAACCTAATTTTAAAATAGGCAAAAGATCTAAGTAGTTATCCAAAGAAGATATGCAGATGGCTACTAAGCACATGAAAAGATGTTCAACGTCATTAGTCAACAGGGATATGCAAATGAAAACCACACTGAGACACACTTCACATTTACAAGGACAGCGATCATCAACAAGACAGATATTAACAGTGTAGACAGGAGGTGGAGAAATGGGAGCCTCATACATGGCTGGTGGGAATGTAAAATGGTGCAGCTCCTTTGGAAAACAGTCTTGCAATTCCTCAAAAATAAAACAGTTACCATATGACCCGGCAATTCTACTCCTAGGCATAGATCCATCATGAATGAAAACACAGAGATCCACATAAAAACATGTACATGGACGTTCATAGCAACACTATTCACAATATTCAAAAGGTGGATACAACCCAAATGTCCATCAGCTGATAAATGGATAAATAAAATGTGGTATATGCATACAATGGACTATTATTAGGACTGGATATGCTGCTTCCCAGAGGGTCCTTCAAGACCCCTACCCTCAGAAGGTGCCAAACTTCCTGAATGTGTGAGGCCTGCAGACTCCCTCTATGGGAACTACCTACTATTTGTCTTGTTGATGTTTAAATATGTAAATAACGATTCATCAGACTATGCATCTGAGAAACTCAGGGAATACTCTGGAAGGCAGGAGCCACAGTGAAGCTGAGGGCACCTCTCAACATGTGTTCCTTCTCTGAATCCCAACAGCAAACCTGTGAGGTAGATGTTATTTTCCCCTTTCAGATGCGAACACAGAGACTTGCTCAGAGTCACTTTGGGCCCAGCCTGTCTGGCGCCAAAGCCCATGTTCCTTCTCCTGAACTGGTTCCTCCGATTTCTCCATGTTTAGACTCCAAGCAGGTCACAGAGGACAGGAAATGCCTCCACCCCCATCCCCTGAGAGGGACTCTGCTCTGGAGTCTGGATTTTCAGGATACTCCTGGCCTCACCTGGCTGTGCTCCTACTTTCCCCATTTCCCCCTTTCTCTCCCCAGATCAGGATCCTCTGCAGCCCAGGCTCCTTGTGTCTGGCCCTCTCTACACTTGAGGCTGGGAGCTTCCATTTACAGTCCCAGGGGGGGAAAGGAGAAAGGATTACGGATGTTCCCAGCTCTAAGCCTTCAGTCTATCTCTCAGGATGCCTTTTGTTGCCAAGAAAGATGGAACAGATGTCTTGGCAATAGCTTCAAATGTTTCCTGCCAAACCAGAGGAAACTTGTCTTCAGCTTAGATGCAGCCAAGGAAGACAAGTCCCAGCCCACATTATTCACAGGAAACGCACAAGCACACACGAGCTGCTTAAACCTGGGGGGCCCGCAGCTCCCAGCAGCCTCTCTTCACCAGGGTTCCAACATCCACTATAGAAACTTGTTGCCCCCCTTCATGCCTTCATCCTCTACCTCCCCACCCCCGATGTTCCATGTCACCCCCTGCTCATGTCATGAATGACTCCACCCATCACACCCTAGGTACACATTTTTTTTTCTTTTTTCTTTTGGGTGATAAAATACACATATCATAAAATTTACCATTTAAGCCATTTTAAAGTGTACAATTCAGCGATGTTTAGCACTTTCACTATGTTGTACAACCATCTCCACCATCTACTTCCAGAACATTTCATCACCACTAAAGGAAAGTCTATACCCATGGAATAGTCACTTCCCGTTCCCCTCTCCCCAGCCCCTGGCAGCCAGTCATCTGCTTTCTGTCTCTTTGATTCCACCTATTCTGGGTATTTCATGTAAATGGTATTGCACAATATTTGGCATTTTGTGACTGGCATCTTTCACTCAGCTTACGGTTTTCCACGTTCACTCACGTTGCGTATCGGTGCTTTGTGTACTGATACTTTATAGCTGTACCTTATATGCTTTATGGCAGAATAATATTCCACTGTATGGATATAACACATTTTGTTTGTTCATTCCTCCGGTGATGGATGTTTGGCTTGTCTTTTTTTTTTTTATGACCGATAAGGGGATCTTAACCCCTTGCTTGGTGTTGTCAGCACCACGCTCACCCAGTGAGCTAACCGGTCATCCCTATATGGGATCCGAACCCATGGCCTTGGTGTTATCAGCACCGCACTCTACCGAGTGAGCCACGGGCCGGCCCTGGATGTTTGGCTTGTTTCTGCCTTTTTGCTATTGTGAATAGTGCTGCTCTGAGCATTCTTGTACAAGTTTTGTTGGGACATCTGTCTTTGATTCTTTTGGGTACATATCCAGGAGTGGAATTGTATGTACTTGGACATATACCTAGGAGCAGGTTATATAGTAATTCTGTTTAACTTTTTGCGAAACCACCAAACTGTTTTCTATAGTGACTGAACCATTTTACATTCCCACCAGTGGTGTAGGAGGGTTCTGATTTCTCTACACCCTCATCAACATGTGTTGTTTTCCTTAACGAAAAAATTCTAGCCATCCTAGTAGATATGAATGGTATCTCATTGTGGTTTTGATTTACGTTTTCCTGATGACCTTCATTAAGCATATCTTCATGTGTTTGTTGACCTTTGACCTTTTGTATATAAGTATCTTCTTTGCAGAAATGTCTATTTAAATCCCTTGTCCTTTCTTAAATTGGGTTATTTATTTTATAGTTGAGTTGTAAGAGTTCTTTATATATTCTGGATACTAGATCCTTATAAGACACATGATGTGCAAATATTTTTTCCCTTTGAAGCAGAATAGTTTTTAATTTGATAAAGTTCAATTTATCTTTTTTTTTTTTTTGGTTGCTTTGTTTTTGGTGTCATATCTAAGAATCCACTGACTGCCCTGCTGCTCATGGCTCCTGAGGCCAGGAACCTCTGTGAAGGCAATGGCTTGAAACACACACCCACACACACCCACACTCACACACACACACACACACACACACACACACACACACACACACACACACACGAGTGGGAGCATAAACTCAGAGACAGAAGCCAGAATGAGCTCAGTACTGTTAGCAGCACCTTCCTGCTTCCAGCTAAGCCAGCTCCTTTGGCTAATGTGAGGTCATATCCTCATGGGGTCGCTCAGCACCTCTCTGAGACCAGGCCAGAAACTGCTGGGACCCTCAGCCAGGACTGGCACTAACCAACTCCCAGAAGAGTTTGAGTGGAACACTTTAACATCCTCTCTCAGAAATAATGGGTCAAGTGGACCTAGAGTAAATAAGGGTACAGAATTCTGAGAAACATAATCAGTACGTTTAAAACTATATATATTCTAAAAATAGAATATGTATTTTTCAAATAATCATTGAACATTTATAAAAATTGGTTTATGTACCAGGTTGCAAAGAAAAAAATTTAAATTACAGAAAGTAGACATTGTACAGATTCCTATTGTCAGAGTATAATTCAATAAAATTAGAAATGAATTACAGAATAATAATAACAGTGAGAAAGCCTTGGAAACAAAAGCACAAACAGCTTTTCAGTATTAAGGAGGAAATAAAAATTGCAAATTAAGGTTTCTTGAAAATTGATGACCATGAGAACACTACGTGATAAAGGAAAGGTGTAGGAGGTGGCCAAAACTGTGCTTAGAGGAAATTTTGTAACGTGAAGTGTTTTTAAAAATTAACAGAAAGGAAAATAAAAACTTGTTATGATTTTTAAAAAGGACTAAAAAGACAACTAAAAGGAGAAATGAATGATAAAGTTAAAAATAGAAATTGATAGGGCCGGCCCGGTGGCACACTGCTACAGTGCACCGCTTGGGAAGCGCGGCGGCGCTCCCGCCGAGGGTTCGGATCCCACATACAGACCGGTTCCCGCTCACTGGCTGAGCGAGGTGCGGGGGCAACACCGAGGGTTGCAATCCCGTTGCCGGTCCCGGTCCGGTACGGGGGCGACACTGAGGGTTGCGATCCCGTTGCCGGTCCCGGTCCGGTACGGGGGCGACACTGAGGGTTGCGATCCATTGCCGGACACGGAAAAAGACAAAAAGGAAAAAAAAAAATAGAAATTGATAAATTTGATAGAAAAAAATAGTAAAATAGATCTCTAGAACCAAACCTAGCTCTTTAAAAAGACCAATGGCATATATTGCTCATAAATATAACCAATAAAAAGGAGATAAACAATTAATGACAATAGAAATGAAAACTGGATTAATACCACAAATACAAAGATGATTGTTAAAATTCTAAGAGATAAGGATCTATGTTTGAACTCCAGATGAAGTGAACAATTTTCTAGAAAAATATGTGTTCAAAATTAATTTGAAAAGAATTAGAAAAACATGAAGTTAATATTCCATAGAAGAAATAAAGATAACTATCAGTGGACTGAAGCCCAGGCCTGGGGAGCTTGGCCACAGCTTCTCCATTTTTGCGAAGGTTGCTCTGCTGGGTCCTGATCTCCACATGAGCCTGGGGACCCAGTTCTTGGGTTCAGGCTCCCCTTTTTTTTTTTTGCTCCTTAGACTTAGGACCCTTGAGCCTCAGGTCTATGGGGATCCCCTCAAGGTGAGCAAAAGCACCAATGCCAAGAAAAAAATGACTTCAGGAACAGGCAGGGGCAACAGCAGGACCCACCTCTCACTTAGTAGCGATGATACCACCTTAGGCTTAGATGAGCAGGACAAGGGATGACACGTGTAAAGTCCCTAGTAGCTTCGCTGCATGTACAGTCCTTGCCTAACCATGGCACAAAACAAAACAGTGGAGGCCAGCAGAGCCTCCTGCTGCTGTAACAGGGCTGTGTGAGCAACTCGTGGCTCTCAGGGCTTTAGTCCCTGCTCTCTGCCCATGAGAACCATGCAGCAGTACCTCCTTGACCCCAGAAAGCAAAGGCTCATGGACTTACCAAACCAAAGGGGGGCCTAGTGGAGACCTTGCCAGGACCGAGATTTCAAAGCATGCTCCAGAGGCCCAGGGCACCACTGGGGTCTCCTCCAGGAAGGCTGGCCTCTTGAGGCCCATGTAGCCCAGGCCCTTGGAGCTTCTGAGGGTTTTGGGGAGCATCCTGGATGAGTTTCTCTGGTCCTGAGGCTCCTCTCAGCTTCATTCCAGGAGGGGAGACTGGAGGGAAGGTGGGGCTGGCCGCTCTGTGGATCTGCTCAGCTGCATCTCGCCCATCTCTGGAAGGCCACCTTGTAATAAATCCTCTCCACTTGCCTGTTCAGGACAGCACAGGGCAACTACAGGAAGAAGAAGGAAAGATTGAAATCACACAGAGGAGGAGAGAGGTGCTTTCAAGGAACCAAGACCAGTCAGTGCCCAGGGCTCCTGGCCAACTGGGCGGTTTGACCCTTCATTTCTCCAGAGGACTCTGGGGATGTCCTTTCCTTCATAGGGTGCCCCCCAGTGCCTTCCCTCCATTTTTCCCATCTGCTGGACCGGAAACCCCTACCATTGCCAAATGTTTGCTGAGCCTCCTTGGAGACCAGGGTAGCCTGGAGGCTGTGGGGGGACATCACTGAAGGTAGAACATGGCCTGGGGAGGCAGGGCTGACATCTGGGAGTGGCAGGTATCCTCTGGATTAAGGTGCCTCCTCCCTGGGGTTCCTTTTAAAAAAAAATTTTTTTTGCTAGAACATTTTTAGGTTCACAGCAAAACTAAATGGAAAGCAGAGTTCCCAATATTCCCTGCCCCCACATGCGCAGCCTCCCCCACTAGACGTCCCCATCAGAGTGGTACATTTTTTATAGCCATGAACCTGCATCGACACATCATGACCACCCAGAGTCCACAGTCTGCAGAGGGTTCACTCCCCGTGCTCTACATTCTGTGGGTTTGGATAAATGGATAACGCCATGTGTCCACCATTACAGTGTCATACAGAGGATTTCACCGCCCTAGAAGTCCTCTGTGCTCTGCCTAGTCATACCTCTCTCCCCTCCAACCCTTGGCAATCACTGATCTTTTGACTGTCTTTGTAGTTTTGTCTTTTTCAGGCAAAACTATATATGTCATGTAGTTGGACTCACAGTATGCAGCCTTTTCAGACCGGCTTCTTTCACTTAGTAATATGCATTTAAGATTCCTCCATGTCTTTGCGTGGCTTCATAGCTCATTTCTTTTTAGCACTGAATAACATTCCACTGTCTGGATGTCCACAGTTTGTTTATTCATTGGCCTCCCAAAGGACATCTTGGTCGCTCCAAGTTTTGGCAGTCATGAATAAAGCTGCTGTAAACATCCGTGCGCAGGTTTTTGTGGACTCAAGTTTTAACTCCTTTGGGTAAGTACCCAGGAGAGCACTTGCAGGATCGTATGGTAAGAGTATGTTCACTTTTGTACTGTGCTTCCTGCTTTAACAGCTTTATTGAGGTATGATTTCCATATAGCAAAACTCCCCCATATTAAGTGCACATTTTGATGAGTTTTGGTGAATGTTTTTAATTAACCTTAGGACAGTTCCATAGTCCCAGAACGTTTCCTCACACCCCCCTGCGGTCGGCCTCCCTGGGGCCAGGCCACCCCCAGCCCCTGGCAACAGCTGACCTGCTTTTTTCACTACACTTCTGCCTTTCCTAGAAGTTCATACACACAGGATCATACAGTATCCGGTTTGGGGGTTTGCAGTCTATGCGTGCTGTACCGGTGAGACGTTTGTGTCCTTTTCCTTGCCGAGTAGCACCGCACTGCTGTATTGTGTGGACGGGCAGCAGCGTGTCTGTCCATTGACCGGGTGATGGAGACGTGGGTTGCTTCCTTTGGGTGGCGGGGGTGGGGCTGTTATGAACATTTGTGTGTCAGTCTTCGTGTGTGTGTCTTCTTTACAAAGGAAAGGGGGATGCTGGGTCCCCCTTGCCCAGAATGAACAGGGAGTTGATGAGGAAGTTGGGGAGGCCCGAGGGGTAAAGGGGAAGGTGCAGCTCCACGCCCTCTTCAGTGCGGGGAGGCCACGGGCGGCCAGCGCTGCTGGAAGCCTCTCTCCACTTGACCTTCCCTTCCCAGCCCCCAGCCAGTTGCTGTGAACAAAAGATCAGGAGAGGGAAGCCGATGTGTTTATTTCCTCATCTCCATGGTGCCGGGAAAGCTGTACTGTGGTCTGGAGAGTGGGGTGAGCTGGGTCAAGCTCCCCGCTGCCACAGCCCTGCTGAGGTTATTAGGAATCCTTGTCAGAATGGCTCCTTTCTAGCATGTTCCATCCACCCTCCCTTCTGTTGCCCTCCATGGCCCACCAGATCTAGCCCCCTGGTCACATCACAGAGGCCCCCAGACACCAGGCCCCTCAGTGCCAGGACCCCTTTGAGGGCCTCAGATCATTTTCCATGGCTCTATGCCATGTCCCCACCCCACAGTGAGGCAGCAGGAGCAGACCCTGTTACCACCCGGCAGGCAGGCAGACAGGCTCAGAGGAGATGAGTGACTGGCACGGAATGGCACAGCCTCCCTTCTCACCTACACCTGCCCTCCACACAGTAACCCCCATGCCCAAATGTCTGGCCCTTGCTCAGATGAAGAGAGAGAGCACGAACTCTAGAATTCCTTATAGCACACGAGACAACCGAATAACAACTCAACAGAATTTTAATTATTTATTCACATATGAGGGGTCTTCAAACAGTTTGTGGAAAGATTTGTATTATCTTTCAATTCTATTTTTCCATGAACTTTTTGCAGTGCTCTTCTACATTATGCACTGGGTATTGATCCAAGAACTTTATAAATATGAACTCAAATTAACCTTATAACTACCCTAATGAGGCAGCTACAATTGCTATCCCCATTTCACAGATGAGAAAGCCAAGGCATAGGGAGGTTAAGTAACTGGACCAGGGTCACACATCTGGGAGACCATAGAGCTAGGAATTGACCCAGACTTTTAGCCACTATACTCTGCTGCCCATGGATTTGTTTCTTTTTCTAGCCATTAAATTTTTCTGAGTTTATTGAGGCATAATTTATATACCGTAAAAGTCACCCATTTTAAGTGTATGATTAAATGATTTTTGGACATTTATAAAATTGTGCAACCTCACAATTGTAATCTCCTTTTAGAACTCTTCTGTCCCTCAAGAATGATCTCTTGTGCCCATTTGCAGCCACTGCTGGTTCTGACCACCAGACTGAGGCAGCCACTAATCTACTTTCTGTCTCTGTAGATTTGCTCCAGAAATTTCATATAATTAGATCATACACTATGTGACCTTCTGAGTTGGCTTCTTTTGCTTAACATAATATTTTTGAGTTTGATCCATATTGTAGCATGTATCAATCCTCCATTCCTTTTTATGGCTGAATAATATTCCATTGTATGGAAATACCACATTTAGTTTATCCATTCACCAGCTGATGGACTTTTCAGTTGTTTCTGCTTTTTGGCTGTGATGAAGGAAGTTGCTAAGAACATTTGTGTGCAAGCCTTTGTGTGGACATATATTTCTCTTTCTCTTTGGATATATGCCTAGGATTGGAACTGCTGGGTCTTATGGTAAGTGTATGTTCAACTTTTTAAAAACCACCAAACATTTTTTCCAAAGTGCTGCACCATTTTCAGTTTCCAGGACCGTGGGTTTTATAGTCCAGGGACCCAGGTTCGAATTCCAGGGCCACACATAAAATCAGATGGAGCCTAATTAGAGCCCTAAAACCAGCCTGGGAAGTAAAACAAGGCCCTCGGGTGGGCACAGGGTCAGGTGCAACCTCTTGGCTGCTTCTGATGGTCTGAGAAACAGATGGACAAGAAATCAGCTGTTCTACTTTCTAATTTAAAAAAAAATCACCCACTGGGACCTAGAGCACTCCTTAGAGGAAATCAGCAAAGTGGCTATTAAACCGAAGGAAAACCAGAAACACACATGTGGAGAAATCAAGCATGGTCTCTCTAATGGAAGATACCAGCTTGGGAAGGCGGAGGCAAAGGGAGACCCCTTGGGACCGGTGAGTGGGCTCAAAGCCCCCTGCTCTAGCAGCCTTTGGTTCCCATTGCCTGCGTCCAGCTTCATCTGAGCCTTTTCTGACTTCCTCAGAGGCCCAGGGAGAGGGTGATGGGAGACACAGGAGGGAAGCCCAGGAGCAGCGGCCTGGGACAGCCAGCCAGCTACGGAAGGCCCCCTCCAGAGCTGTGCTGTCATTCAGAAGGAGGAAGGAACATTGGGAGCGTCACCGACTCTCCAGTTTGTCACATGTTGCTCTAAAGAGTCACTTCACTATTCTATAAAGAGATACAATGTTTGATTGAGAGATTTTAACACTTCTGGTGGAATTCTCCAACTGAGGCACAAGGTAGGTGTCTGACAAATGCTTCTCTCCGGCTGCCTCTACAGAAAGGGAGGAGATGGCAGGTTACTGCTGCAATGCAGAGCTCACGGGGGCTGGCACTGAGGCCTCAGCTTTGCAGGACAGGAAGGGACGCAGCCTGCCTCAGCTTACTTCTGAATGCCACATGTGCAGGACAGGAGGTAATTGTACTGGACTGAATAGGGTCCCTTCAAATTCATGTCCACCTGGAACCTGTGAAGATTATCTTACTTGGAAATAGGATCTCTGCAGATGTAATTAAGGTCAAATGAGGTCATACTAGATTAGGGTGGGCCCTAACCCAATGACTGGTGTTCTTATGAGGCAAATTTGGACACCGACACAGAAGACACAGAGGAGACCACCGTGTGAAGACAGACACATGTGAAAGAAGGCAGCATGAAGACAGAGGCAGAGCCTGGAGTGACGCAGCTCCAAGTCAAGGACTCCAAAGATTGCCAGGAGGAAGCAAGGAAGCGTTCTTCCCTAGAGACTCTGGAGAGACCGTGGCTCTGCCAACACCTTGATTTTAGACTTCTGACCTCCAGAACTGTGAGAGAACGAATTTCTGTTGCTTAAAGCCCCTTGGTTTGTGGTGATTTGTTACAGCAGCCCTGGGAAACCGAGGCAGTGACCAAAATCTGTGCTCAGGCTGCATGCAACAAACTGCGTGTGTCAGTCCGTTTCTGTTACTTATAACAAAATTCACAGAACTGGGTAATATATAAAGAAAATGAAATTTATTGCTTACAGTTTCAAAGGCTGGGGAGTCCAAACTCAAGGGAACACATCTGATAAGGCCTCGGTGGTGGTGACAGCGACCCAGGGGTCTCACATGGCAGGAAATGGAGCAGAGAGAGCGAGCGCCTTATGCGCGCTACTTTTAAAGCCCTCAGAACCGCACCCACGACCACCATTTTTAATCCATTCACTATGGCATAGATTGCAATCTAATTAATTAATCAATCAAATTAATGATTAAAGTCATTAGCTTACAATCCGATCATCTCTTCAAGGCCTCACCTTGCAATTACCATAATAGGATTTCCCACCCTCTTAACAGTCACTGTGGGGATCAAGCTACTAATACATAACACCTGGGGGACACGATCCATATCACTGTGCATGCTGGTGGGTGGCAGAGGGGGACCACGGGCAGGGAGTCTGTGTGGAGGAGGAGCCATGTCTCAGTCATGTCTGATATTTGGGCAGGAGACCCAAAGGGCAGATCTGAAACTGGGGGCTCAGCATGGCCCCTGATAGAACTGGCTTTAAGGGCCGGCCCGGTGGCACACTGCTATAGTTCAGATCCCACATACAGACCGGCCGCTCACTGGCTGAGCGAGTTGCGGGCGCAACACCGAGGGTTGCGATCCCGTTGCCGGTCCCGGTCCGGTACACGCGACACTGAGGGTTGCGATCCATTGCCGGTCACGAAAAAAGACAAAAAGGAAAAAAAAAAAAAAAAAAAAACTGGCTTTAATGTCTCAAGTTTTTCCATGTCTACTTCCTCCAGCTTGCCAGGAACTGGTGCTGCATATGGCAGGCGCCACTTCCATGCTTAGTTTTTTTGGATGCGCTGTGCATGTGAAGAAGCAGATGCTGTGATTGGCTGGCCGGGAGGGAGGGAGCTAGCCCAGCTTTGTTTAAAAAACGATTCAGAGGCTGCTGCTATTTGCTGAGCTGGCACAGAGGCATCAGGACTCTGAAAGTGTCAATAGACATGATGCTCACTGTGGTCACGTGTCAGCCCATAATCCTACTCCAGAAACTGCGGCTTTGTCCCGAGCTTGACCCTGCAGGAATGAACTCCCTCGGCTCTCACCAGTGGCCAGAGCCACAGAGAACAGGGACAAGTCTCTCATGCTCACCGTGTCCTGCTTACCATGTCCTGGCCATGCTTGGTGTGGAAATCAGTGGTCAACTCCTGGGGCTGGCAGCTCGGCTGAAGTGAAGTTGACAGGCCTTAGGACCACCCACCCAACAGCTGTCACTTCCTGTTAGTAGATGGCCAGTCCTGGGCAGGGGTCTGTCTTTGAGGAACTAGAGTGGCCAGTCCACTGAAACTCCTTCAGGCAAGAGTAAACTCCACAGTAGTCTATCTGGCCCCTTCCCATGGGCCCAGCATAAGTCTCTTCACTCGGCACTGTGGGTGAGGGGATGTCACAGAGCCGCGCTGGACTGGAACCAGGTCCTTCCATTCCCACAGAGCCTGACCGCTGAACCTCTGAACCTGGCACCATTTACCACTGGTCCTCCACGGCCGCTTGGTCAACTTCCCCAACTGCAAGGCCTTAGGGTGCTGGGTGGGGAACGGTCTGCAGCCATCAGAGTTTGCAGTGAGTGGGATCATCCACAGCCTGACACTGAAAGCTCTGCCTCTCTGAGTGTCCACCCTGCCTGCTCCAGGCAGCCATCAACCCACACAGAGAGAGCAGCACCGGGATGTGCCTGCTGTCCAGCCAGGGCCACCATCCAGGGGACACGGTGGTAGCTCTGTTTCCTTCCTCTCTTTCCTGGGATATGCTCAGCTAGACAGTTGCTGAGCTAGGGAACTGAGCATGACTGTCCACCTCAGCCTAATGCTGGCTGTTAGACTCATCACACAGTATGTCGACACAATGCCCAGGTGGCAGCTGGGCATGAAGGCCAGCTGGGCATGAAGGTCCCCAAAGAGCAGCCAGACTTTGCTGTCTTGTTTGTGACTGGTGGGAGGGCTGGAGCCTCAGGGCCCACCCACCGAGCACATGAGGGTGAGCCACGTTCCAGACATGTTGCACTATTGGGGTCATGGGACACCAGAGTTCAATGGGCGGGCGCTCTCTAGCGGGGCCCACAACACTAGCTTGGCCAGAACAGGCCTGAGACTGGGACTTTCCAGGAGAAGTGGCCGACCTCATGGCTTCCTGAGAGGAACAATGCCCACAGGAAGGGAGCCACGGGACCCTCGCCATAGACAGCATGTCCTGTCCGCGTCCCACGCCAGTTTCAAAACACATGCTGCTGGCCCAAATTAAACCTGCTTCCTGTCCATGTGAACTCTCAGCTGCAGGCTCTTGGGCTGAGCGGTGCTTCTTGGAACGGCCCAACTGCCTGTCCTATGGAGTTCAAGACTCGCATTCAGTCTTAGCTACAAGGTCCAAATCCGAGTCATGCAGGAGTGAGGCCACGACATCAGCTCAGGGACTGGCCCTGCACGAGGCCTGCCCAGTCCCCTGGGAACCTGCTTCTAGTTCTCCAGCGGATGTCTGTCTGCAGAGCTGTCTGCTTCAGAATCTCTGAGTCCCCGGGATGAAGTAGCATCTCAGAAGCTGACCTCTAGTGGAAGCGCAAAGGCCAGGACAGCTTTGTCAGTGGGAATCGGGCAGGGCTGTCTGATGGCAGAGCTGAAAAGTCCTCAGGGCCATCCAAGCCTAGACCAGTCTTCACTCTGGGGAGAAGGGAGGTGCGGTCTGGAGAGGGGAAGGGTCCTCTTTCTTTACAGGTCTTGGCTGGGCAGTTACTGGCCCCATGACTCCCACTGGGCCTGGGCCTCTAGTCCCTGTGCCTCAGTTTACACAGTGGGAAAGAATGACCAGAATCCTTTTCCTCTGCCCTGCTCTACTAAGCAGCAGCCTAGGAAGCCAGGGCAGAGCCTCAGCAGACCCTGGGGTCCTTCAAGGGCAGCTTCCATTGTTTTAAAGAACAATTTCCTCCACCCCTGCCTCTACCATCTCCCATCAGCCCAGGCACAGAAAGGAACATCACTTTTGCTGGAATGAGCCACAGACAGACTTTATTGGATGAGTGGGTGTCACTGATGGGCCAGTAGGTCACAGACCTGTGGTGGAAAACAAGCCACAATTGGAGCGTCAGTATCTGGGGAAGCACAAATCTCTGCAGGGGTGTCCAGAGAGCTGCAGGCCACTGAGGAGGCTGGGACACCGTGGCTCAATCCACACCAGAGTGGAGTCCAGGGTCCAACAGTCACCCCAGCCGGAGGCCAGCCCCCATGGCTGCCCTGCTCTGCCGCACCCTCTGCTCCTAGGTCACACGTCATCCAAAGTAGGTGGGGGAGGCGCAGGGAGATGGTATCCAGGGCACAGAGGGGAGGGTGGGGAAGGGAAAGAGCCAGGGGAGAGCTGGGTGGCCTCTGAGGAAGACCCGGCACCCTCGGCTCCCCACTCCCATCGAGGCCTTCCTCTGCAAGGTGCTGGGAAGTGAGGGCGGAGGACATGAAAAAGGGAAGTGGGGGCTGGGGCTGAACTTTCCTAGAGCCACTCAGACCCGTGGGGAGGGAGGGAGCCCTCAGGCCTGGGGAAGGCAGGGAAGGAGTTCAGCTCTCTGCCCCAGACCACCTATTTCCTCTCGCCCTGCACAGGTGCCAGGGAGGGTGGGTGACCTATTGAGGAATTGGCAGCTGATGACGTACGCAGTGAGATGAAGGATAGATGAGACCTGGTGCCCCCAGCCCGGCGGGCCCTGGCCCGGGACAGGAGCCGGGACACTAGAGATTGACCGCAGCAGATGACTGGCATATGTCCACCAGGGGCTCCCTGAGGACTGGCTCTCGGCCCCTATCAGGAATGGGGGGGGGGCCTAGTCCCCCTTCCAGTGCCTCTGCCAGGCAGGACAGAGCCAAGGAACAGCAGTGTTTGCATTTCATTAAAAACTACTGTGTTTCATTAAAAACTAGCTGTGAACATGAAGAATACATCCAAGACAGACATACTGATGTTTTGCTCATTAGACGTCATTCATTCACTGAGAATTTCCTGAGCACCACGTGGTGCCCAGTCTCGGGTGCCTGGGGGTCTGGGAGAAGTCTAAGGCACTGGCCCTGCCCTGTGCACAGCTCTTTCTCCCTGGGAAGGCGGCTCCTCCGATGAAGGCCACTGAGGAAGTCCAGACACTGAGGACAGGGAAGGTGTCAGGGCAGAAGCCTGAGAGCCTCGTGCCCCATTGGGAATAGGAGGCAGCACCAGCTGGAAGCCTGTCCCAAGCTCCAGGCCTGGGCAGAGCTCTGGGACATGCTGTGACTTGCTCGCTGAGAGCTGCGAGGGTGGATGTTGGCTCTGTGCCCAGAGGCCCAAGGAGGCCATAGGCTGGCCAGGCCTTTCCTGGAAAGGAAAAGGGAGGAGGCCTTGGGGCCTGGCAGTGGGACCTCCATACCTGAGAGGCAGGGCTGAGCCCAGCTTTTCCCTTTGGTGCTGGTAACTAGAGGAGGCTCATGTCAGAACACCCCAGACAGCCAGGGTTTCTTGGTCAGTGTCCCGTTCCTGGGAGGCCCACCCAGAGCCTGCAGGCTCCCGGCAGCCATGCCAGCAGAGACCCCAGGCCCAGGCCAGCTGGTCTTCCCTCCTGTGCTAGGGCTGCAGAGTCTGTGGTCATGAGGTCTCCCTGCGCCATGTGACACCTCCCTGGGGCCCCTGCGTGTCTCACAGTTAGTGAGGCCTCCCCACACACTCTCCCCTCTGCATCCACGTGGACTGAGACAACTTGGGCTCCAATTCCTATGGTTACCTTGCTCTCTGACCCTGCAGGGGTTCCACTCTGACCCCACAGCCCAGGAGAAACAGGTATTCAACTCTGAACCCACAGTGCAGTACTGGGTCCCATGGGGATAGAGGTCATAGCCTGGCAGGCACGCCCACATGGGAGGGTCAGCTGGGCCAGAGGCCAGCATAGGGAGGGTGGTCAGAAGAGGCTGGGGGTGGACCGGACAGGTGTGTCGTGGTCCCGGATGTACTGCAGGATGTCCATCTCGTCCATGGCTTGGATCTGCTGCTGCTGCTTCCGCTGCCCGACTACAGCTTCAGACGAGCCCACTTTGGGGGGAATAGCTGGTTTTCTGGGTAGTGCTGGCTTAGCTGCCACTGGTGGCTTGGGCTTAAGTTGGGGCTGCGGTTTGGGCTCAGCTCCTAGGTTCAGAATCTGGTCCAAGTCCTCTTCGACTCTAGGGAATCAGAGAGAAAAGCCCTGAGCACAACCACCCCGCACAAAAGGAGCAAGACCCCGGGCAATGTCCCTCCCAATCTGGAGCTGAGCAGTTCCCGGGGACCAGCCCTGTCTACTCATCCCGCTCCAAGGAGAAACCGTAGGGCAGGGTTCTCCTTCCTTCCAACCCTGCAGCACAGAGGGGACACAGCCAACCCCTACGTAGCCTCCCAAGAGTTGCTCTTCAGCTGACCCCACTCTAAACATGCTGGTCTCTTTAGGGGACTTCACCCCAAACCCTTTAGAAATAACTACCAGCTGCCATGCACAGACCCCCACTCTGTGCCCAGCACTGCAGACACAATATCTTACTCATTTTCATAACACCACTGGGAGGAGGTGTGACCCGTGTCTCTACCTCGCAGATAAGAGTGCTGGCGACCCAGGAGGCGGCAACCCTGCTGAGATGACCACATGTCACAGGGCCTGAGTGGGAACCAGGCTGTCTGACCTCAGCAGCTGAGCCCTCATCCAAGCAAGGTTCAACCAGAGAAAGAATAAACGAGGGGCTTGGAGCCATTGTGGAATGGGGTCTGCCTGCCCATGGTGCCCCTGAGGGTCACAGAGGTGCTAGATGGAGCCCAGTGAGGGCTGGAGATGGCCTCAGCCTGGGCCCGCACAGACTCTGTCATGTCCCCAGACAGCTGATGGTTTGCTGGCAGAAGGGACCAAAGGCCGTAGCAGTGTGACGGTCACACAGGACCATCCCAGGTACTGACGGGCAGGAAGGGAAGGCCAGGCCACTGCCTGCCTCCGCCCTCTTGGCCTGGGGAGATCCTGTTGCCAGCTCCTGGTGGACGAACTTGATTTCTGGAAACCAGATGCACAGCAGAAGACCAAACTGCTCAACACTGTGCCAAATACCTATTATGGCCGGGCCTTTCCACATTCATTCACTCTTTCAATAGTCTCAAAACACTGTCTGGAAGCAGATATTGGCTCCTTTTTACAGGAGTGGAAACTGAGGCACAGAGAGGTGAAGGGCCTTGCCGTGTGCCCCACAACTAGTGTCACAATGAACAGCACCTGGCCCACAGGTGCTTCTCTAGGGTGTGCTCGGTTAGACACCTCTGCACAGGAGCTCTCCTCAGGTGGAGTTTCTCCTGTGTCTAACGGGTACCTCTGTGTGCATCACTCAGCCACACCGGGGCTGGTGGGTGAGGGCACTGAAGGGAGAAGCCTGGCATGGCCACCTGGCCCCCCAAGCTTCGGTCTCCTCATCTACAAGATGGAAACAGTGGCACTTCCGGGCAGGGTGGCACAGTGCTGCGCAGTGAGCAGGGCACGGCGGGCAGGAGGACCAGCTTCTGTTCCTTGCCCTGCAGTCCTTCATCAGTGGCCTCGGCCTCCCTGTCTGTACAGTGGGGGTCACTCTTGCTCTTCCAATGCCACGGGGATTCTTACAAGGATCAAATAAGACAATGGAGGGAGAGTGCTTTACAGATGTCAGGGAGTGCCGCGTGTATTGATTTCCACTGGCAGCTGCGGCACTGAACAAAGCACGCATAAGATACGAAGGAGCAGTCGCCTCCATCATCTGCGCAGGGCACTGGCCGGACAGATGAAATCCACACAAGCACAAGGTCCAAAAAGAAGTTGCTGAGGTCCCAAGAAGGGAGTCATCATGTGGGCTGAAGCAGGCTGGGAAGGCTTCCAGGGAAAGTGGGCCTTTAAGAAGGGTAGGCCTGGCATAAACAGGGGGAGGAAGGAGGGACTTCTGGAGAAGGAGCAGCAGAGAGCAAAGGTCTGGAGGTGGGAATGAGAACTGACAGGAGGAACCTGGCAGGCTCCAGAGCAGAAGCATCCTGCCCTGGGCAGTGTGTCCCGATGGCCGGAACGCAGGCGGTTGGTCCAGCTCTGCATCAGCAGGGGTAGAGAGGAGCTGCCTTTGGTCTGAAAGCTCCTGGCACTACCTGGCAGAGGCCCACATGAGTGTGAGAAGGTCAGCACAGCATCCCAGAGGGGCTGCCTGCCAGGTACTAGCTGCTGAAAGAGCTCTGGGTTGCCCTGCCTGCATCTCAGGCCACCTCCTGTGGTGGGGCACAGGCCTCAGACAGAGAGTTCAGAGCCTGCTTGGACAGCAGAGAAGTGAACAAAAAGGCGTCCTTCATCAAGAGAGCAGCTGCCTTGAATTCAAGACAATTTTGGGAGGCGTCCCCCATGGACAGCATGCTCCTGGCTACCTCAGCTCGGATGTGCTGGGCTCTCGCCACATGGCAGTCCTTCCCCCACTTGCCCATGGTGGGTGCTGGCTCCCCCTGCATCCTTCAGTGGAGGTTTAGGTGCCCAGGAAAACCTCTAAGGGGCTGAATTATTCTCAAACAGAGGCCGGTAGGAAAAAAAAGCAGTAGCTGAGAGCTTGTGTCAGGTCTCGGCATTATACTGCTTAGCAGAGCAATGACTGTAACAAATCAGAACCTGGATTTGCTCTGAGGTGGGAGGTGTGCTGTGGGCAGTCACAGCAGGAGGCGGTTACTTGCTCTCGGGATACAGGCGGCCACATGGGCACCCCCTTTCCAAGCACCCCATTTCCATCTGGGCAAGCTCCAGCTCCCCCTCTTCCAGGTCCAGCAGTATGAAGTCAACCAGTGAGGGGTAAGGGGGCTCAGGAGAGCCCAGCGCCACCTCTCCTCCCTGCGTCCCTGCAGAGGACAGAACTCTGCTAAAGAGCCAAACTGGAGGCCCGGCCTTGGTGTGGCTGCATAGCCAGAGGGGGCAGAGGCTTCTCAGATGCCAGACCCCACCTGGCATACCACCCTAGGCTGCCCTGGGCTGACTGAGGCTGCGCTGGTGATGGGATGGTGACAGTCGGGCACATAAACGAAAGAGTGACTGTGAGAAAGGAAGCCCAACTACTGCCTGGCAAGAAGGTAATTCTTTCAGTACCAGATGTCTGTTGAAGTGAATCAGGGAGGCAGGACACACCCAAGTGCTCTGTGGGATGCTCAGAGGCATGACAAAGGAAAGGTCCTGGGGGCCAATGAGAAAGTGACATGCTGTGTGGTGTTTGGCGGTAGAAGTCCCGCTGGACACTGGTACTTCCCCAACACATCTGGCTACAGAACCCTTTGAAGGTTACACCTTCTATGCCCCACTGTATTATGTTCTGCAAAACACAGGTTGGTAAGTAACAGATTTAGAATAAACATGCCAGAAAGGTCCCACGAGAGCTGCTCCACTGGGACACTCTGACTCTAGGATGTGCTCACCCTGGTCCTTCCACTCCCCAGGGCTGCCTCTAGTACTCCACTTCCCAGTGCCTTGGTTTCCCCCTGAATGAAATAACAATAATCCCGGTTCCTCCCAGCCTGCAGGGATGTCAGTAACGAGGATGCAGAATGAGAGTAAGCAGATGCCAGGGTCCTTGGGGAGAAGTAAATATGAGAAGCCATTGCAGTGACTCGGGCTTGGTGGACACTTAGAGGACTGTCTCACAGCCCGAGGCTGCTAATGAGGGGTGCAGATGACAGCCTCCAGGGACTGCACGCCTCGGTGCCACCTAAACCGTTCCTGGAAAGAGGCAGCTTGGCTTCCTGTAAATTTTCTCCAAGCCTGTGTCCTTGGGGATGGGGACAGAAGACACTGGAACCTTGAGCTTGAGAGAATGCAGTTGGCATACACCCAGGGAGGACTGGCAGCCCCAGCTGGAGGGGCGATCTCCCAGCTCTTCTCCTCCAGGTGCTCAGAGAGGCCCCCATGGTGTGGAGAGGCCGGGCCACGCAGGCAGGAGCTGTGGCCTTGGGCAAGTGACCTCTTCCACGTTCCGTTTTCTGTGAAATAGAGACAACGGCACCTACCACAGAGGGGCCATTGCAAGGATTAAATGGAATGCCATGTGGAATGTCTCACTGACTGTCTGACACACAGCAAGCGCTCAGTCAGCAGAAACCGTCCTCTGCACGGCTTCTGCCCACCGACCTCCGTGTGGGAGATCCAGCCTCGCTCCCTTTCCCGCTGTAGAACCCTCTGGAGAACCTTCCCGGTGGACCCACGGCCCAGTGCACCTGCGCCCGGCTCCCTCTGGGCAAGTGGCACACTACCCACAGATTCCCTTGTTTCCAACGCTGCTCATGCCAGTTATACTTGCTCTTGCAACTGTGTCGTTTCATTATTCTTTATATAAACTATTCGAATATAAGTATGAAAAGAAAAGGACTGGTTGTACGCATGAAGATCTCTCTTTCCGGATCCGCCTGAGCTGTCCTGGGCAGCCGCTCCGCCTCCTGACTCCCCTCTGCCAGCTCTTGGCCATTCCCACCCACTCCCACACACAGGCTCTTGCTTCTGGCAGGCCTGGGTTCCCTCCCTCAGAGGCTCTCACACAGGGTCGGGTACCCCTGGCTCTGTCCAGGCCACCCTCAGAGCAGGCAAAGTACTGCTGGGGACAGGTGGTACCTGAACAGCTCCTCAGAGGCATCCTGGCAGCCCAGGCTGGATGTGGGCCCTGCACTCTCACAGGCAGCTGGCAGCAGTAAGGGGTCGCCCAGGGGGACGGCCCCACCGAGGTCAGGATCGTCAAATAGCTTCAGGGCTGTGGAGGAGACAGCAACAGAGTGATCAGAGAAGTCTGGTCATCCTCAGCTGCCTGGGGAGCAGCGGGGAGACAGCCTGGTCTAGCCTCCTGGCACACATAGGACACGGTGAGCAAGGGACAAGGCAGAAAACCAGAGAACAGGTGGGGGCTGGATGAGGACGAGAGGACAACAGCTCAGCAAAGGCCAGGGCCCCTCTCTGTTGTGGCCTCAGCCTCCAGCACGGGGCCAGAGTCAGCCGATGGCATCACTCTGGTTTCATGTCCTCATGAACCTCCCACTGCTTTTAGGAGGAAATGGCCGCTTGCGCTCACTGCACCAGGCTCCCCAGGATCCAGTCTAGTTGGATCTCTTAGCTCACCCCCATCACTGCACCCGTCTCTCAGCAACCATTTACTGAACACCAACCACCGACCAGGGCTGCTGTCTGCTGGGGTGCAGTGGCGGGGACTGTTCTGATCACAGTCTTCGAGGAGCCTGGTCTCCTCCCCACACCCTCCCCTCTGAACTGCTTGAGGCTGCCCTTTGAGAATGCAGATCATGGCCTCTTTGCCTGCAATGCATTTCTTCAGCACGCCTGGCAAGTGCCGGAGGACCTTTTGGGATCCAGGTCAAGGGCGCCCCACCCCCACACCACCCAGGAAGTCTTCCCTGGAGTCCCAAGGGAATGACATCTCTGCTTGGTCCTGATAGACTCTGCTACTCTGCAACTGTCAGGTGATGGTCTGTCTCCCCACAGGACTTGGGGACTGGTCCTTACTCCTCAGCTTGTTCTTGGGCCTGGCCTTTGGTGGAGGATCACCAACCGTTGGATGAATTAATGAGTGACATCAACTCCTTTCCCCTGGAGGAGGGAGGAAGACCTGGGCAGGCATGAGGAAGGGTCAGACCAGGGACATGCAGGCAATCTAAAATCTGTCAATCTAAATTGCACAGAGTTGCACACACACCCGGGGCAGGCCAGCATCCACTTTCTACCCAGATGGTGCCTGGAGGCCCAGAGCCCACATCTGGCTGCAGATATAATGAAGGCACCGCGTAAAGCAACAAAGAAAACCACCCTCCTGTTCTGTGGGATGTTTAGAATAATTGTACAGCCCCAGAATGTTCCAGATGGTGGGGACGCCGGGTGTGAGGTTCGATCTCTCCAGAAAACCTCCATGAGCCAAGTCTGTATCTTGTCTGGGTAGGACATGGGAAAGACCGTCTATTCATGCATGGCAGATTCAAAGCCCCCCCCGGTGACAGAGGCTGGTTACCACTGGACACCAAGAGCATAGAGAACACACCCTGGGGTGCTACTTACAATCTGTGGGGGTCATGTCCTTCAAGGGGCCCTGTGGAGAGAGCTTCCTGCCTAGGCCAAAGAGCCCCTCATCAGGATCCAGCTCCTCATCGAAGATGGAGCGCCGGGGGGAAGGCTTGGGTTTGACTGCCACTTCGGGGCATTTCTTGGGCTTTTTGGAGCTGCAAAATCACAGACAAAACACAAGGTGAGGACTTCTCATGAGAGCTCAGCTGTCCTGGTCAGACCCACATGGCTGGTCCAGCTGAGGACCTGCTGGATGCTGAGGGCCAGAAAAGACATGGCCAGAACGGGACTACAGGAAGGCCTGAGTGGCCTAACCAGAGCAGTGCAGGTGGGTGGAGTGACTGGAGGGGTGCTCAGATCTCTAACAGACTGTCACATGCAACAGGGAAAGACAGGCCCACCCTCCTCAGGGGAGACAGCCAGGCCAGCAGAGGGAGGTGGGAGGAGGCAGCCTGTCCAATGATCTGACGACGGGGTAGTGGGACCCCTGCTACTGGAGGTGGCCAAGCACCGTGCGTGGGAACCAACCACTAGCAGGAGGGACAGGAAGGAGCAGGTGGGGCCTGAACTAGACACCACCAGCCAGACGGGCCCCAACCCTAAAGGCCCACTTGGGCCTTGGGCCCACTGAGTGGCCACGGGCCAGAGAACATGGAAGTGACCACCGGGTCCACACTCCACAGCCAGTTGGAGATGGGCAGACAGGGTCTGGGATCAGAAAGGGCAGAAAGTAGCCTCTTTGTTTCCACATATAACCCCTTCCCTCAAGTGCTGTGACCGCCATCATTCTAGTAAACACTTCAGTTGTAAACACTGAGCGAGTGCCCCCTCCTTCAGGAAGCCCTCTGGGACTGAGCCCCGCTGGGCTCTGCCACCCCAGGTCCTGTTATGTTTCAGTCGCTGACTGGCTGAGGTCCCACTGTGGCCAGACCCTGCTGTGTGAAATGAGAGGGCATGAGGGAAACTTCTGGGGTGTGGGAATGCTTTATTTCTTGATGGGGTGGTTACACAGTGGACTGGTCAACATTCATGGAGCTGACCTCTCCCGATCTACGCACATCACTGTATGCAATAGCACCAATAAAGAAATAAACCAACCAACAAACCGGTTTTATTTTAAGAAGTTGACCCGATCCATGCTGCTGATGTCTGTATAAGCCGTTTTAAAGTTCCTGCAAACAACGAGAATATACTTTTTACTGGAAACTGGAATTCCGTGCGTCTGTCTGCCTGGCGGGCAGCTCCGCCGGGCTGAGGTCACTGTCTGAGCTCATGCTGGCAACACTATGTGGCAAAACTGGTCCAAGAGGTTGGCCCCACCCTAAACAAGATACAGATTAACCAGCGACAGATAAAAATAGCAGGGCGGCCCTGGGTGCTGGAGGGGCAGGGTGTTCCAAGGTGACAATTCCCACAGTCTGGAGTTAGTAAGTCCAGCTGCAGTTGAGACACGCAGAAGCTACAAGAGCTGGAAGGCACCTGCTGGAAGGCCACAGGACAGAGCACCCCCCTGCACTCAGGGCCCAGTCTCTGCGGGCTCTTCTGCAGGATGAGGAATGTGACTCAGAGCAGCTGAGTGTCTGCCCGAGGCCACACAGCAGGCCAGGGCAGTCACACTCACAGTCCTATGCTCTCGCCTCCTTCAAATGTCCCATGAGCAGGAGGGTGATACGGAGGGGTGAGGATAGGATAACAGGACTGATCCTGCTGTTCTCTGAGAAAGTGTCACATTTCAGAGATAGTGACTGCGATGGGAGACTCAGCAGGGACTGTGCCAGGAAGCCCCTCTGCCCACCTCTGCACTTTCTCCACACCAGCACAGCCAGCGGGACACCTCTGCTCTGCACCGTCCTTGCACTCTGTCTGTGGCACCAGGAGCGAGGCAGATTCTCCATCCTAAGAGCATGTGCTCTGCAGTAACCTTCAGCTGTGGCTCCTCTCACACCTCAAGGGGTCAGGACCTGCCTGCACTTACTGGGACACTTCCCTTCATTCTCACCATTAGGCCGGGCCAGCTCAGCTCTCTTGACCCCTGGGAAGAGGCCATGACCCCTTGGGGCAGGCCAAAGGAGATGACCCCAGCCAAGACCTACCAAGTCAAATGCCCAGGCAGGCTGGAGGCTGAGTCTGCTGTGGAGTCCAGTGACCAGTCAGGCCTGGGAGCCACCAGAGCAGCTGGGGACAAGCTGTGCCTCCCTGTCCCTTGTCTACCCATTACAGCAGCCCTTCACTTGGCCCCTGCTCCTGGATCTGGCAGGAACCACAGCAGTGAAGGGCAGAGAGCCCCCACCCCACCTGCACCCACACCCAGGCCACCGTTCCCAGGCAGGGCAGGCCACTCTGCGGCCACTGCGGGCAGCCTCTCAGTGCATGTCCCAGCGCCCTGCTCAGAAACACAGCCCCCACAGGTCCTTACACAGCTCCCAAGCCCAGACTTGGGAGCAGAGGCTTCGCAGTGCTCAGAAGTCAGAGGAAGCACAAAGCGAGGAGAAGTGTGTGAAGCACAGAAAGTGAGAGAGAACCGGGGAGGGTGTCCGGAGAAGCCGGCGGGTGTCACAGCTCCCTTCTCACACCTACTTCTGGCCCTGCCAGCACAAATTAGGACGAACTTTCCTTCTGTGTGCTTTCCTCTCAAAATGGATTCATGTTCTTGTTTTTCTCCCAGGAGACATTTTTGATCTTTTGCTGCCTTGAGCTGCAATAGAGTGCATGCACAGCGCGCGGGGGCTGCTCAGTCGGGCGCCGTCGGTGCTCCCCGCCCCCCGGCCATCCTGTCTCCCAACTCTCCGGACCAGACAACATGGAGCTGTGGTGCCTAAAAGCCCCAGGGCGCTGTCCTGACTGGCCCTAAAATCACAGGCTGAGGACTCAGCAGTGCGCCTGGTCCAGAGCAGATGTTTGGTTAATACTGGATAGAAGGATGGGAGGAAGGAAGGATGGAAGGAAAGAGCGGGGGAAGGACAGACAGATGGATGAACAGGTAGATGGATGGACAGGGTGACAGTACATCTCTAATTCAGACTTATTTTTCCCTATTCCCCAGGGAGCAGGAGAAAGGGAGTGAAGAGGGATGGGCCCCAGCATCGGTCTTGGGACCGTATTTGGACAGCCTCCCCAGTGCGCCGCGCCTGCTCCATGGTCACCTCTGCTGCTGTCGCCTCCAGCCCCCAGCTGCTCTGTGAGCAACGCGCTCATTCCCTGCTGAGTGCCTTCCATGAGCAGCACGCACTGGACACCTCCCACATGCAAGGACCTGCGCTGGGGGACGAGGGCACAGAGATGAGTAAGACACTCATAGCCGCACAGTCCCAGGCACAAACCGACTGTTCTCACACAGGGCGTTCTGCTCTGTCACAGCTGGGGCACAGAGGAAGGAGCCAACCCAGCCCGAGGGCTCAGGGAGGGTTTCCTGGAGGAGGTGAGGTGGAGGCTGGTGGTGAACTTGGTGGACCGAGGGCAGAACAGCGTCTCAGGGAGAGGAACCGTTAAGTCACTCCATGAGGTCCTGCAGGAGGCGTGACTTGGGCCTGACTGGGAATCTGGATGCCTCTGGATGGCAAGGAACCCCTGGGGTTTACAGCAGGGGGAGGGCAGTGCTGCGAGGGGAGTGGTGGCCAGCCAGGTGCCCCATGTAAACTTTGCCCATGGTCCTCCAGGGCCTGGCCATGGGGAGCAGTGGCAGTGTGGGGAGAGACTAGGCCAGGGAGTGCTTCTGCACGCAAAATGGATGAGCAGTTTGGATGGTGAAAGGGACCGGCTGGTGGAAAGCAGCTGTCTAGGGTGCCGCTGGAGCGTGACCTCAGTGCCAGGGTCAGTCATTTCACGGGTGAGGAGAGTCACTCAGTCTTGTTGCTGTTTCTTCACTTCGCTCTCCGTGCTCCTCCCCCTCCTCCACTCCTATGTCAGCGCCCACCCAGCTGTCCGCAGGTGCGCACCCGCCCTCTGCACCAACAGGAGACACAGCCCCTTGCTGACGTGACAAAGGATACCCCTCTTCTCCCTTCACCTACAGGAAGCCAGTAATGATCAGACTTGTCGCCAGGGCCAGGGCAGCTGGGCATCAAACACAGGGGCCTGCAGTGAATGAAACTGCAGTGCCTGGCTCCCCGGGAACATCAAGGGTCATCCGAACCTGTGCAGGTTATGAGACTGGCGCAGTACAGGTTGTATGAAGCAGTGGGGGCTCCTCGCTGGCACAGGCCTGTGTAAGCATGTTTGTGTTGCACACACGTGTGTGCAAGGACAGACACCAGCTCTCCTGCTGTGTGTGCCTGACAGAAGACAGACGCACAGACCCAGCTGTGTTCTGCAGGCGGACACGCAGCACACGTGGTGAGAGGCGGCAGCTGCCGCGCCTGTCAGCTCCAAGGCTGTGACAGGCCAAGAAGTGGCCCTGCTCCCTGTGGCTCAGCAGTTCTGGTGACAGTGATTGACACATGAGAGCATCCACCTCTCTGGCCACCCGGGGAGGCTGTGGCGCTGTTCTGGATGTGCCCACTCACCATGGCAGATCACCAGTGGGCAGCTGCCAAGGACCCGCAGGCACGGGAGTTGCAGCAGCATCACCCTGAACACAGCCAGCTCAAGCAGGTCTTCTCAGAAGATGGATTGTGGATCCTTCTGCAGCAGGGACACACAGATCACATGGCCATTATCTTCAAAGCCAGGGTGATGCTCAGCCAAATATGGAAATCAACCTCTTTTCCTAGAATGCAACTTTCTCACTTTAAAATAAAGCACTTTTCATATTTTTATCTTAAATTCACTCAGCTTTTTAACACCAAGGTCAAGAGTTCAGATCCCCGGACTGGCCAGCCCCCAAAACAAAACAAAACGAAGAGTTTAACTTAATTTAGCTATTTTTTTTCAATTAGAGAAAATTCTGGAGTGCCAACAAATGAAATTCTGAAATCCATTCCAGGACAATGTTATTTGCAGCAGCACCGGGCAACGGACTTCCATGGAGAAGCAATCACAGAGTGTGACTCCTGGAGGAGAGGCATTCACCCCGAGGGTCCCACCTTGGGGCATTGACTTGCTTCTAAATCTTGAGTTAGCAAATCCAGATACTTGGCAGTGTGCTAAGGGCATTCTCAACCACAGAATCACCCCAGAACTGACTTCATTTAAATATAGAGAGTAAAATATTATCTTTATACTGAAACACACGTGGTTATTTTATGGAAGACGAAGCAAAATCTGTACGAATATAAAAAGTTACAATAAAACACAGCATTCCAAAGAACATCCAGCTTTGCCACTTGAGGCCATGGAATGGGACTCTCACCTTTGAGGGGAAGTCAGGGAAGCCCAGCCTCACAGGCAGGCGTGTTCAGACAGGAACCAGTCTGTGCTGTGGAAGCTGAGAGTCCTCAAAGGCCTGGACCTGGGGGGGGGGCTCCCCCATCCCCTAGGCTAGGGGGTAATGGGAAGAGGTTGGAGGGAGAGGCCAAGGGGGGGCAGGTTTTGGGAAAGCAGAACAGCCCTCCCAACAGAGGAGATTCAGCCCCTAAAGAATCCTTACTGGAGTGGTACATCAAAGCCTGGCAGAAGCCCTGGGGACGTTGCTCTGGGGCATGCATCTGGGGCAAAAGCTCAATAGCACAGAAGTTCTGAACACATAATAGCTGCTTGAATTATTGCCTGTAATAGCAAAACTATGGAAAACACCACAGTGTCCACAAGCAGGGGCCTGGCAATGCCACCTACAACACATCAACCTGAGGAGCTAACACAGAGCTTGAATGAAGAAGTATATTTACTGATCTGGAAAGATCTAGTACGTAAGCTGAGAAAGAGCAAATTATGGAATGGCACATACAACACAATACCATGTTTTGTAATAAGACATGAATGTTCGAAAGTGCATGCATTCACGGGGAAAGGACTTTTACCTGTGATTTCAGTGTTTCTATACTAATTGTATATTATTTGGATCACAACGAAAAATGTTTCTAGCAAAGGATTTCCAGCAGAAGGCAGAAGAACTATAGTAAAACTTCAATGTTCTCAGAACTGTGTAGTCTCTAAAATATTAAGTGAAATGTGAACACTATGTTCGACATGGAGTGGTGACCATGGCAGAACAGTAAATGAAAAAGCAGAGTCTGGGGGCCGGCCCGGTGGCGCACTGGATAGTGCGCCGCTTGGGAAGCGCGGCGGCGCTTCCGCCTGAGGGTTCGGATCCCACATACAGACCGGTTCCCGCTCACTGGCTGAGCGAGGCGCGGGAGCAACACCGAGGGTTGCGATCCCGTTGCCGGTCCCCGGTCCGGTACGGGGGCAACACTGAGGGTTGCGATCCGTTGCCGGACACGGAAAAAGACAAAAGACAAAAAAAAAAAAAGCAGAGTCTGAAGAGGCACGTGCACTATGTCTGCAGTAATGCAGCTCGTGCTGGGACAGGGTCAGACGCAAACCCCCGAAAATAAGAGGAGCAGCAGTGTTGGGATGGGCTGGTGTGAGGGCTTCTTCTAGCTTTACGTGCTCTCTAATGGTGTAATAACATGCCGCCTTCTTTTCCCTAATCAGAACCAGGTTTAAAAGACAAAGAAGAGACAGACCAACCCGGCTGGGCTTAGTGCTGGCGACTCCCACCCTTCCAAGCACCCTGCAGTGGAGCAACAGCGCCTCACTGCGGCTACGGCAGGGAAGAACCGAGGCCTGTCACACGGAAACGGTGGCTACTCAAGGAAAGCCCAGAGCCAGGCCCAGATGGGAGCTTGGGGGTGGGGGACAGGCGCAGGTGGGGAGCCAGGGCTGCTGTGTCTGCAGAGGGACTGAGGGCACAGGATGGAGAGAGATGCATGTGGAACAGACGCTGCCTGTGAAGAACAGGATGTTCCCCGCAAACGGCCGGGTGGGGGGCTCTGTGCAATAGTGTCAACAGGCCCACCTGCATGTCCAGGAGAGGCTGAGGCTGAAACCCGACTTCAAGGCACAGCTCTGCCACACACCAGACTCTGGCCAAGTCCCTGCTCAACTCTGTCCTCAATTTTCCCATCTGTGAAAGGGGGATAATGCTAAGGCCCAGTCCATCCCCCAGACTGCTGAGAAACTGGACAGGAGATGGCATCCAGTCCTGGCTCTGCCATTTGCAGGCTGTGTGAACGTAGACAAACCGCTTGACTCCAAACTGTGGTCTCCTAATACACAAAATGAGGTTGATGACAATACAGGCTGAGTATCTCTTATCCAAAATGCTTGGGACCAGAAGTGTTTCAGATTTAGGATTTTTTCTGTTTTTAGAATATTTGCTGGATTACATACTGGTTGAGCATCCCTAATCTGAAAATCCAAAATCTAAAATGCAATAAGCATTTCCTTTGAACATGATGTTGCCGCTCAAAAAGTTTTGAATTTTGGACCATTTTGGATTTTGGATTTCGGATCTTTGGATTAGAGATGCTCAACCTGTACAGGCCTCCCAGAGCACCATTTCCTAAACTGTACCCACAATGGATCTTGAAAGTAATTCGGTGCATCATAACCTTTTCATAAAAAAATAGAATAGAAAATATCAGAGTACAAAACACTAAGTTTTCATGTGAGTTCTCGAAACTTTTGTTTCATTTTGTCTGATGTTTACACACATGTGTGTCCTGGGTCAGGATAAGAAATATATCATTTTTACTGTGGGTCATAGCAAAAAGTTTCAGAAATACTGCCTTAATGACATCATGAGATAAGGCTAGCTAATGCTAACTCAGTTTTCAGCATTTAATAAGCTTCCAAAAACAGTACTTCTTATTCCTGACAGATGTGATGACACCAACTGTTGTCACATGGGTCCTTAAGAGAAAAGCAGGCCGGAGAGGGTTTTAAGACTCAAGGATTTCTTTTAGGTGCTAACGGTTCCTGGGATTCAGGAGCTGGGGGAGGGAACAGGGGGGCAGGTGGTCCCAGGCCAGCTGACACATCCCCCATGAAAATCTGCTACTGGAGTAAGTAGGAAATCCAAGGCAGCACTTGCCAACCCTAAAGAGCATTTTCCTACCCAAAAAAGGAGCCACTCTGTAGGCAAGTTCTTCAGCCAAAGGCTGGCGCCAAGTGCTGAAGTCCATCTCAGCTTGGTGCTGCATGTGGTTACTTAGAACACAAAGAGCTTGAGTTCAGACAAAGTCTATGCTCACTAAAATAGCCCACGAAGGGCCCTCGGGGCTGATAAGAAGTGGCTATCACAGACTTCACCTGCCATCTTTGATGCCTGTCCCCTGGGGCTGCTGACCCCCTCCAGGACAAGGCCAGACACGGAAGGCCAGGAGGGGCCTGGCTGCGGGCACTCGCTGCACCACGTCCTGTCTCTGCTGCGGCTCCCTGAACACCTCTTCTGAATGTGAACCTTCATCCCCTCTATGCTGGTCCCACCCCTGCACAGCCCACCCCTCATACATCCTGTCTCGGAGGCAGGCCTGTGCGGCGCGGGAAACGCTCTTAGAACCGCATCCTGCATGTCCTATAAGTTGGACTTGCCAATGGCTGACTTCTGCTCAGCTCTCAATCCTTTCTGGAGCAGGACCTACAGACAGTCCCCCTCATCTGCGGACTGAAGGCGTCAATGAGTCTCTAGGACCCACCTGTCCTGGCAGGGAGGTGTCCCTGGGTCTGAGGTCTGATTCCATAGAAAGACAGGGCCATGAGGGTAGCTAATTGCCAATGCTATGTTGATGCATTTAATCCTCACAAGAGTCCTAGGGGGCAGGTACTATCATAATCCCACTTTTGCTGAGGAAATAGAATAAACGAGGGGAATGGCAGAGACAGGACTCGAGCCCAGGCTCCAGAGACAAGCATCTTAAACTTGGTTCAAAGCCCTGTACTATCATTTACCAGCCATCCGACCTCGGGCAGGGCACCTGGCCTCTGCGGGTTTCCTTTTATTTAATCTGTAGAATGGGCTGATAGTGGCTGCTTGTGAAGCAGGGAGTCAGCAAAATTGGTGCAGGGAGTCAGCGAGATCGGTACATGGAGTACAGAGTATGATGCCCAGCACATAGTAGGAGCTCAGAACACCTTAGTTCCACCTTGTTCCACTGCGGTCCACCAAATTTGGGCCCCAGAGAAAAAGCGAGCACCCTGGGGAAGGCTGAACTGCCTTGTCCCCCCTCAGGGAAGCCGTCTCCTTCTGGTGGGGGCGTCCTGCCCCAGCATCTCAGTCTTGCCCCCCAGCACAGGGTGATCCACGCAGAGGGGCTCAGGAGCACCTTACTGACTGGCTGATGCAGCCAGAGGGCCAGGAAAGGAGACGGGACAAAGGGCAAGAGAAGCAAGACACCCCTAAGAGGGACGACCACGGCTGGCCTGCCTCTTCTCCAGGCAGGGTGCTCATGCTGCACGTGTGCACAAGTGTGCACATGTGTCCATGTGAGGGGCATATGGCCAGAGTGCCCTGGGGCTCACTCTACCTCCTCACATCACATGCAGTCAGCACCTCTGGGTCACACGTTCCCTCCTCCCTGTAGGGAGGCAGGCCCAGAGAGCCACAGTCGCAACCACAAGCCACATGGCTGGAAGGACAGCCCAGGCCTCCTGGTGCCAGCTGGGGGGATGCAGCAGCCTGGACTCCTGAGCTGTCAGGGGGGCAGCTCTGCCAGGCCTCAGTGCAGAGCCAGGGGCTCCCTGTGACCAGGCAGGGGCAGGAGATACCTGAGCCCAGCCCCAAAGATATAGGTGACAATGAGGGCACAGAGAGAGCCAGTCTCCTGAGCATGCCAGGGCAGGGTCTCATAGCCCAGACCCCTACAAGCAGGTGATCCAGGAAGCACAGGGGTTTTCTTAGACTCCCAGGGGAGGGAAAGGGAGGCACCATCTCCAGAAAGCCTGGAATGAGCTGGAAGGAGACCCTTTCGACAACAGGAGACTTACCGCATGATGCCCAGGGGATCCAACACCTCCTCCTCCTCTTCCATGGACTTCTCTGCATCCTCACCCTTCAGGCCCAGGACGGGGGTACCCTCACCCCTCACTCGGTCCTGCTGCTCAAAGAAGTCAAAAGCCTCCTCGTCCCCTTCCTGGCTGTCTGTGCCCTCCAGGACAGAGGCATCTCTGCTGGTGAGACTTGCAGCACCTGAGGATCTGGTGCCTGTGGAGGAAGACAGAAGAGAAGGGACTTGATACCCACCCCAGAGGCAGAGGACGTGCCTGCCACACCACACTCTCCTGCACCAGGATCAGAGGTCAAGGGCTTCCTGCAGCTTCCTAGGACCGAACTGCCTTGAGCTAGGATGGTGAGTCTGGGGGGATGGGAGGTGATAACTTTCAGGGGCCAACCAAGTGCTCACTCGGCCCCCTGAGGGCTGACAGGCGCCAGGGAAGCCTGGAGTGGAACAGTCACAAGTGGCAGCTTCAGGGCAAGTCAGAGGCAGGGGTTCCTGAACCTCTGTGGCCCAGAGGCTGTCTGCACTGCAGGGATGGCCAAGCCACATCCACTGGGCTAGCGGTGGGTAAACCAGCCAGCGTACGGGGCAATTCAGACAGAACCAGCACTTCCAGAACTGCTTTACAGCGTGGGGCTCGGCAAGGAGCTCTGTCAATCCAACTGCAGATGGAGACCTCCTCTGAGAATCTGGGCAATTAGACTAAACTTGATAAGTGCACAGAATGAACACGTGGAAGGTTCCAGAACAAACTGCAATCTCTCCATTACAAACTGGCTTAGATCAGCACATCTCAAAGTGTGCTCCACAGACCAGAGTCCATGATGAGGTAGGTACAGAAAAGGAGAGCAAGCATTCAAAAATTTCCATAGCAGCTTGGCATCATCACACCATCCAAGCAGGAGATTTTGCATTTGCAAAGTGTCCGTCTGTGACAGGCTGGGAGTAGAAAAGCTCGTCTTCCCCCACAGATAGTTTGAGAAGCGTGGGTTTAGGCTACTGTTCATCTCTTTCTGAGTAGTTACTGGGTAGTTGATCTTTGAAAGCATTCACTTTTTTTTTTCCTTTTTGTCTTTTTTTACTGACCGGTAATGGGATCGCAACCCTTGGTGTTGCGCCCGCACCGCGCTCAGCCAGTGAGCGGGAACCGGTCTCCACATGGGATCCGAACCCTCGGTGGGAGCGCCGCCGCACTCCTAAGCGGTGCACTCTCCAGTGCGCCACCGGGCCGGCCCAGCATTCACTTCTTAAAAAAACCACCCTGTAGGTAAAGAACTTGGTGTCTGGCACAGGGGATGTACTGACTGATAATGATTGTATTATTTGATGCTCTGTTATTTTATTCAGACAAATGTGAAAATACCATACAAAAATCTCATGAACCTGCAATTTCATGTAATAAGTATCATATAATAAGCATCTTACATTCAAATATCACAAAAACCTTATGAGAGATTCTAACTGTATCTCCATTTTACAAACAAGGAAACTGAGGCACAGACCACCCTATCCTGCCTCTCCATAACAGAGGGGCCGGGACACCCTGAGCATTTCTTCCAGCTCTGGATGGGCCAGAGCCACCTTATCATAGTCTGCACAGCCCCAGGGACAGGCAATGAGGGAAGGGTTGGGACCTCGGAGCAAATGGGGGCAGAAGAGACCCCAGATCGGTGTGAGGGGCACGGAAGTGGATACAAGAAACAGCTCTGCAACCTTGTCCGGTCTCAGGCCCGTGCATTCACCGGCTATGCTTTCATTCTCTTCCTCTCACTTTTTGTTAAGTTGGTTTATTTGCTGTCCTCTTTCTTTTGAAAATTCCCTTCTGTCTCGTGGGACTAGGAGATCCACAGTAATCAGGAAAAGAGTTAAAGTTAATGGACTGATCCAAAGAGGGGAGGAAGTCAGAGGCATATGAGCACGTGACCTGCCCTGGGGGCATTTGGGTGAGACTGGGATAGGGCTGGGGTTTCCAGGTGATAGGAGTGCTTCACACGCACCTATCAGCTCACTTAATCATCACAGCCACCTATTGGCCAGGTTGCTTTCCCATCTTACAGATGAGAAAACTGAAAAGGAAAGAGAGGGGACCCAGGACATCCACCGGAAGAGCTTAAGGTCCCTGTTACTGGGAAGGGACTGCTGGATCGATTTGACTGTGCCTTAGCCTGAAGCCATGTATATGACTGTCTCTGTGGGGGGCACAGGCTGAGAGTGAGGCATCCCCAGGAGCCAGGCCCTGACCAGCAGGAGGCAGAGGCATGTGTGTATATGTGTATGTACATATAGGTGATCAGGGGAGCTCTAGGGGTGGGGTCCTGGGTGGGGTCACACCATGGGGAGTGCCCCCTGTGGGAGCCCCATGTGGCACCCAGACAGTCCTTTGAGGCCGGGCCTCCTCCTGCCCGCCATCTGGCCCAGGGATGTGGGCAAGGCCCATCTGCTTCAACAGCCTGGCCGAAGCTTCCAGGCTGCAGAGGGCAGCTGTGGACCCACTCCCACCCAGCCGGGGCCTAGTTCTGGGTGGGGGAGACCTCAGGGTGCGGGTGGGGCCTCGGGTACCTAAGAATTCTAGCAGCTCTGGGCTGCCTGCCAACTCGGCATCCTGGGAGACATAGCGCAGAATCTCATTGAACACGGCTCTCCTTTCCTGGATGTCAGATTCCCCCACAAACAGGACCTTTCTGGGGAGCGCGGGGAGGCCGGCTGTTGCATAGCGACTGCTCAGTTTCTGGTAAAACTCCTCAATCTCGCTGTACTTTTTGGAGACCTGGAATGAGAGGAGTGCAGAGTGAGAGGGAACTCTCTTGCTCCAATCAGGGGTCCCTAGAGGGCTGGTGGCCACAGCACGTGTGCCCGGGGCATGCCGCTTCGGCCCCTCCGCCCATCTCCCCACCACAGGCTCCAGTCCTTAACCCTCCCAGCCAATGGCAGGCTCAATTACGAACATTCCAGTGGCCCAAAGGAAAGATGCCATAATAATGCCATTTTGGATACTATCACAGGCCTGGGTAGATATTTGATATGAGGAGCCCTGCCCGGCCTGCAGGTGACCATGGCCTCTGCCTCCACCCTGGGCTTGCAGCACAGCAGCAGGCTGAGCTCACCATCTGGCAGGCTGCCAGGCCATCTTTCTGCAACCATGAGTCACCTTTTCTGAGCACAGACCTCTTGCTGGTTCTCCTGTGAATCAGCAGCAGCCTTCCGGCGGGGCCTGTCCTTACAGGCAGTGGAGCTAGCTATTGCCAAAGGTGGCCCTCCACCCTGTCACCAGCCAGGATTCTACATGCTGGGACTTGGGAGAAGCAGGCCAGAGCTGCCGTCACAAGGGGGTCCCGAATGCCATCCGAGTCACCAAGGGCAGCACTCGACTTCCTGCAGGGCCAGAGGCTGGCTGCCACCTCCTCCTCGGCCTCTCCCAACTCCTCGGCAGCTAAGGCTCACTTGTCAAGTTCTCACTGCCTGTTTACCTTGGATGAGGACACCCCAATGGACTTCAGGCTCATGCAGGGTGAGCAGCCACAGTACAGTGGGCTGGGTGCCACCACTGTGATCTATACAACCAAATGTGAGTGCGCAGAGAAAAGTCACCTGTTCTGTGCCACACACTGCACCTGCCACCATGTCCACCCTCAATCCTGGACTCCTTTGCACTCTCCTCAGAGGCAGGCCTATCTCCCCAGTGGCTCTGTGGAAGCATGAAGGGTGAGGGCATGGATAGCTTACCCTTGCGCCCCCAGCCTGGGCTGCACCCCCAGTGCCCCACTGGAATGCTTGTGTGCCACTGCATGGCACGGCATTCTGATGCCCACACACCCAGAGGCCCAGAAATTCCCAGCACAGGGTGTGTCTGGCATGCACACACCTGGCTAAGCAGCATCACCACCCAGACCCCCAGCCTAGGAAGATTCCAGACACCAGGAGGTAGTTGGGGGACTTCAGAACCCTCCAAATAGGTAGTTCTCTGGGACAGCATAAGCGCCTGGCTCCAGAGTTTCCCTGCGAACAGCCCTAAGGAAAGGTAAGAGGATCCTTACACCTAAAGTGATTGATAACACAGGCCCACCCAGTTCAACTGAGGAGCCGGAGACTCCCGCCCAGCAGGCAGAGCAGGCCATGGTGGGGGCCGAGCGCCCCCTGCTGGCCTGACTGCTCCATGCAGGCTCAGCCCACAGACCCACCTAGCCCAAGTTCCCAGAGCCTCCATCTCCAGGGCACTGACAGCGTGAGGTTCCAGGGCTTTAAGTCTAGGCTCCCACCCTATGCTAGGCCCACACCCATCAGACAGGGCTTCTCAGGTAGCTACCAGCACCAGCCATGAGAGGAGGCCAAGTGAGAGGCACTGAGTGCAGAGGGGGCTGAGGGTGGGCACTCACATCATCTGGTGCCCCCGTGTGCCAGGCACTGTGCTGGGCGCTGGGCAGTGATGCTACCCCGCAGCCCTCTACCATCGGTGTGTGCATGCCTGCACCGCAAGCACGTGCAGGGTGTCTGCAAAACCTCCAGCACAGTGCCCCTTCCTGGAGGCTGGTTTTGCTCCATTGCTAACAATTAAATATATATTTATATTAAAACACATATGCCCTTTTAAGGAATAGATGCAGAATGCTCATTAATTCTTTTAGGTAAGTCATAAAACTTCAAATTTCAGGCTTGGGCTGAAAACTTCAAATTTCTGGCTTATGCAACTTTGGGCTATACCCCCAGATTCCACAGGAAGTAAACGAGTCCTCCTTTGCCCTTTGGAATGGGCACACACTCCATGGGGTATAGGCGTCACTGGTGGGGGACATGGAGTTGTTAAAGATGTCCTCATGTACACCTCTGGGTAAGGTTGGCTCTGCACAGAACTGAGTGGGCCAGCCTGGTGCTCCTCAAGGGCTCCCAGAATGCTGCCTCAATGCATGCCCAGGGACATCAATCTCAAATATTCTCTTCTGCTCCTGTCCTTGAAAACATTGGTGGGTTGAGGTCCAGCCTGGGTCAAGTCAGACTCCCAGCAGCTGCAAACTACCCTGCAGAGCAGAGCCACTCTCAGAGCAATGCAGACCCAGAGCCACCACCTGACGTATCTTGGTTCTCACCAAGTGTCAGTCTAAGGAGCAATCACGTGCAAAACAGCACTGCTGTTTCAGACACTACCACTGATGTTGTTGAATGTCTCTTAAAGAAAGATTTGTGTCATAAGTTTCTCTTAGAATTTGATGTCTCTTTTAATAGGTCACCAGAGTAATGCAATTCATTGTTTCCCTTTTTGCTTTGGCTGCCAGGAGATTCAGAGCTAACCTGTGGGCAAACCTACAGCAAGGTGCTCCCCCTACGTACTGTGGGAGTCTAGCTCATTTTACCTTTATCCTAATACCCCTGTAGCCTGTCTCTTCTGGTCACCAGCTCCAGGCCTTTTTATAAGAGACAAATCAGTAAATAATAAATAAATGATTTTGTGATCTCACCGCTTCTTGAAACTCTCTCTTCCTGTGACTCCACAGATGTCCAGTTCTCTTTCCTCTGCCTTGACTGTACATTCATCCTTCCTGACTACCCCTGAACTGCTGGTATCCCCAGCATTTCCCCCTCAGCCCTTCTCTCTGCCCTCCCCATCTGTTCTCTAGGCCACTTCATCCACTCCTAGACTTTTAACATCACCTCCAAGCCAACACCTCCTAAGCCTGCAACTTAGGCCTGACCCCATCTCGAGCTCCAGCCCTGTGCGTCCACCCATCGCTTCACGCTCAACATGCGCCCTCAGTCCTGACCCTCCACCATGCTCCTTATTTCAGTTGGTGGAAACAATCAGCCAGCAAATTATGTGCATGTTACCTTGTCAGCTCTCTCCCTCCTTCCATCCCAACCACTCCGGCCTGCCCCAAGCCCTGGCCTTGGGGATTACTGTATTGGTCCCATAACTGGGCTCTTGGTCTCCTGCCTCGTTCCTTCCAACTCACCTCTACACGCCCACCAGACTGGCTGGTTAAAGGCAAATGGGACCACATCACTCTCCTCCTTAACACTCATCCTTGGCTGCAAAATGAGCCCAGGCTCCCTGCAGGTTCTCCAAGACTAGGACTCTGCCCATCATCCACCCTCATCTTCTCCCACTTCACCCCAGGACCACATTCAACCACTTGGAGCTCCCCACACAACACCCTGTTCCCACCTCTGTGCCTTTGCGTGGCTGTGCCCCCGCCCAGGATACTCTTCTCCTTCTACTGCTTAGCTCCACTGCTCTTTAAAACACAGCCTAGCCCTCACCTCTTCTGAGCAGTTTCTGGAGACCCTTCCCCAGGGTGGGTAGAGTGCCCCTTCTCTACACCCCTACGACCCCCCATGTGCTCCCGCCACCATCTGCATCTGTCTCCCCATGAACTGTAGACATCTGATTCACGCTCATGTTCTTATCATCCCACACTATCTGGCACTCCCAGGCCCTGAGCGAGCATTGGATAGACAAGTGCTTGCTCTAATGCTACTTGCACACTGGTGGGCAGGTGTGTCTGCCCGCCCGAACTCTTGGACCCTGGACACCCTCAGAGCATCTTGGCCAGAGCCCCCAGCTCACCAAGAACTGGACGACGTCCTCTGGCCTGTGCTTGGCTGACTTGAATGCAGCCAGCCGGGTCACCACCAGGATCTGGTACTCCACATGGCCGGACATCATCCTGCCCCGCACCTCCTGATGCTGGGGCACGGTCAGATCAAGGCCTGTGTGGACATTCTGGACTTGCCTGCCACAGAAAATGAAGGCAAATGAAGTTCAGTTTCAGGTCAACAGGGTTCTCGAGTGAAAGGCAAGCAGGACCTTGGTGTGGCCTGGTGGGGCCTGGGTCCCAGGTGCTCTGCTGGCTGTCCTCAGTGGTTCTCAGTGGTCACTGCTCCAGGCCACACAGCCCACTCCTCATAAAGCCTGACTTCCCGGGCCTTGGGCCTGGGTCCTGACTTTGGGTTGCTCAGGTACGAAGGTCTATTCCCAGCAGGAAAACAGAGAAGGATGGGATTGTTGAAAATCATATAGGGCTAAGTGTTTCACACAAACGCGATGTAAGCTTTGCAGAATTTGTGAAGTGGCACCCTGGGGCTCTATTCGGACCAAGGAAAGTGCCTGTGTCTGTGTAGATGATGTGGGAATGAAACCCCACCGGGAACCTGGAGAAAGAGCCGCATCTCTGCAGCTCGCTAGAGGCCAGGAGAGCTGCTAGAGCCTGTCCAGCTGGGGAAATGCGACAGCCACTGGAGACCGGGTCCTCATGAGCCCTGGAGCCCAGCGAGGCACTGGTAAGGCCATTTCCTCATCTGCGCAGCTGATAACCTCCTTCTCGAGGCTCCACATTAAAGCTCTTGGAGAGTTTTAAATGCTACTCAAATACACTAACTGTATGGAGAGCAAAGAAGTAGTTAGACGTTTTCTTGGAAGTGAGAAAAGATGTTAGATGCACCCCTTATCCTATATAAGGGTGCAGCACAGACCTATGCACACACATGTGCATGGCACACACACCTCTGGCAGGACGTGCCAGGCATGCTCTGATCATTGAGGCCCACACCTACTGTGCCAGGCAGGCTTTTGCAATGCAAGGAGGGCTTGTGATCTGAGCAGGGAGGGGCTTCTGAAGCTTAAGCTGTGCCTGGGTCAAGGCCCTTCCCTCTCTGGAATCACATCCCAATCCATTAGACGCCCCCTGGCCCGGTACTCCTTGCACACGATTCCTCACACCCCATGCTCAGCTGTCAACGCCTACTGATGCAGTGCGTGTGCATGCCCAACAAGTGCACAGACCCGCGCACATGAGAAACATTGTCCCTCAGTGTAAGGCACCCTGTGAATAGCACAGATCACCCAGGAAGGCCCAGGCTGACCTGCCTTCAGGGAGGTGCTAAAGCGCAGAGAGAGCCAGATGTACGCTGTGAGATTAAAAATACACAAACCAATCAGCCCTCTTCTTCCACCTGTAGCCAGATGATGGCATTCTCTGCCTGATGCTGCGAGCCCAGGGCCCCTTACAGGGCATGATAAAGGATCATCGTGTAAATGAGGCACAGGTGGGTGGAAGGGACAGGGAGGAGGGTGCCTGAGCTGTAAGGAGAGGACTTCTCAGTGGTGGCACCCCTGACTGGCGCCTCCGACAGTCCAGCTCCCCCAAAGCATCCCTGACAGTTCTGAACTGTCATCCCTGAACATGTCTGACAGTTCTCTGGCTGCACCAGGAGCTATAATCCATGGTCCACGTCCCCCCTCCCCCACCACGTCCCGCCTCACCAGCTGAGAGTCCCACTCTATTGCTGCAGTCACTCTGCCTCAGCTCAGCTCCTCTGACCTCTCGTCCAAGGCCGAACTGGCCTAGAAAAAGGCCACTTTTCCCCTTCTCTACTTCCTTTGCCCCTGCATCCAAGTGGCTCAACATGAATGGGACAGACACAAACACGCCTCCTGGTCGTGCCTGAAACTTATCACAGCCACAAACCTCAAGCCAAAGTGCTGGGCTTGGCAACCCTATGTTGCCCTGGATGTGGGTTTCTCAAAGTGGGGTCCCTGGACCAGCCTCAGCATCACCAGGGAACTTGTTAGAAACTGAATCAGAAGAGAACACCTGGGGTGGGCCGCAATCTCCCTTCCAACAAGCCCTCCTGCGATTCTGACTCTGATGCGCCTGGGCCTAATACAGACCATGAGGACTGTGCCCTCATGAATGGATTAACCCACTCGTGGAGCAATGGGTTAAGGGTTTAACGGGTTACCAGGCAGCGAAGTGCGCCTGGCTGCGGGGCTATGGCATGCGCAGGCCCCTGCAGGCAAGCTCCTTGGGTTTGCTGGTGTCTGCGGGGAAGAGGGACCGCTCCCAATTCACTGGGCCTTCACCACCACCAGCACTCGGTGTCTGTTAACAAGCCTAGTCCAGGCTTGCAACGAAGGAGGCCACCCACCCCCTTCCCAAGCACCCAGGACCAAAGTCAGCCCCATAGGTCTGTCTGCGTGTGACAGAGGGATGCCTGCTGCTGAAGCTGCTCACACCTGCCAATCTGAAACCTCCGATTTGCAGAAAAGAAAACTGAGGCCCAGCAAGAGGACGTGACTTACATGGCAGCAGAGAAACCTATTCTGCCAATGTAGATATTCATTTACATAATAAACTGGCATCTTAGCCCAAGATTTTGTGTAGGAGGCTCAACGGTGAGTATATGAAAGCACTTGGAGTGAGTCACTTCACAGCTATTTAAAACGGGGGAGAAAGTAAAACCATGTCCCTCCCCGACTTTCCTGGATCCATCTTGTGCTGGGTCCTCAGGCTGGATCAGGGTGGACCCGCGCTGCGTCCCTGCTGGGTCTCCCGAGCGACCTCCCTGGGCCGTGGCCACCTCTCCCCCCCCCTCACCTGGTTTAAGTCCACTCGCCCTGCAGGATGCGGCCTCATTCCTGCCCTCCCAGGAGCATGGTTCCCGCCGCTCCGTGCTCCCATGGCAACCCAAGCTCGTACCCGCTCCCGCCACCCTCATCGCAGCTCCCCCTGCAGGGCCCGTCTGATGTCCCGGCCCCCGGCCCCCGGCCCCCGAGCCCAGCACCGGGCCCGGCACACAGCGAGCGCCGAAGGACGGAGACCCAGATGCTCAGGCCCTGAAGAAACGAACACAGGTCGGCAGAAAAGGGAAGCGGGGTCCCCTCTCCGGCCGCCTGCAGGGGACCGGCCAGTCCCAGGCCTTCCACTAGGTCTGGGGTGAGTGCTTTGCCCTCTAGGGGGCCTCGGTTTTCTTATCTGTAAAACGGGGACACTCGAGGTGGGCGCGCCCAGCTGAGAGTCCCACTCTATTGCTGCAGTCACTCTGCCTCAGCTCAGCTCCTCTGACCTCTCGTCCAAGGCCGAACTGGCCTAGAAAAAGGCCACTTTTCCCCTTCTCTACTTCCTTTGCCCCTGCATCCAAGTGGCTCAACATGAATGGGACAGACACAAACACGCCTCCTGGTCGTGCCTGAAACTTATCACAGCCACAAACCTCAAGCCAAAGTGCTGGGCTTGGCAACCCTATGTTGCCCTGGATGTGGGTTTCTCAAAGTGGGGTCCCTGGACCAGCCTCAGCATCACCAGGGAACTTGTTAGAAACTGAATCAGAAGAGAACACCTGGGGTGGGCCGCAATCTCCCTTCCAACAAGCCCTCCTGCGATTCTGACTCTGATGCGCCTGGGCCTAATACAGACCATGAGGACTGTGCCCTCATGAATGGATTAACCCACTCGTGGAGCAATGGGTTAAGGGTTTAACGGGTTACCAGGCAGCGAAGTGCGCCTGGCTGCGGGGTTTGTGTCGCTCTGATACCGAGCCACTAAAGAGACAGGACTTTGCTCAGTTTCTGCTGCTCGTCCCATTGCAAAACGACTCTCCCTTTCCTTCATGGCCTTTTCAGTCCATCAGGCAGGCAGTCAACAAACATCCACTAAGCTGGTGTCTATTCCAGGCCCGTGGAAGTTTGGGGACTACAGTGAACACGACGACTCAGCCCCGGGCCACGCGCTCTCGGGGTGTGCCACGACCTGCGGCCTCCCCTTTCCTGCCCTCCCTTCAAGGTGCCCTGTCCCTCCTGCCGTCTGCTCAGTCCACACCTGGCAGGCACTCTTCTCACAGAGGGTCTTCTAAGAGCCACTTCCTGGTAGTTGACAGAGCCCCGGGTGGAGTCCCCCAACCCTTGCCTGCCTCTAATGCCTGCCTTTGGGTCCCTGGCTGGGGCCAGGACAGCAGGGGCCAGTTTCCCTCAGGAGAGGGCTTAGGTGTAGAGGCAGGCAGAACGTGATAGACTTGCTCATGATAGAAGCAACTCTCCATGGAATGAGAAACAGAGAGGTTGTGTCACTTGCCAAAGCGGCCCAGGACAAGAAAAGCTGAGCCTGGAAGAAAGGCAGGAGAAAGGTGCGACTTGCTGCCCCTGCTCTATTGCAACAAAGAGCACCAGAAGCTGGGACTCGGTGACACCTGAAGTCACGAGAGGGTAATGGTACGTTTTTTTTGTCTTTTTCGTGACCGGTAAGGGGATCGCAACCCTTGGCTTGGTGTCCTCCGCACCGCGCTCAGCCAGTGAGCGCACCGGCCAGTCCTATATAGGATCCGAACCCGCGGCGGGAGCGTCGCTGCGCTCCCAGCGCCGCACTCTCCCGAGTGAGCCACCGGCCGGCCCAATGGTACGTTTTTTAAGCTTACCAATCATCACCAACATCGCCATTACCTGTAGTTTTGATTTTAGTGAAGAAATCTTATAGTAAGAAATATGGAAAAATGACTTTCCCCAATGTATCTCTTGAATACATACATTCCTATGCCTTATCGGTTTTGCTTCTAGACAAGACGAGCGATACTGAGTGCACGGGTGACCGGAGGGAGGAAGGTTGTGAGGGAGGCCTGGATGGCTGCGGCCGCTGCTGTCTGCTCCCCCTGCTGGCCGCCCGTCTGCTGTGTGACGGGGTCCATGGGGGCTAGTGGTCCCCCATGTCTTGTTTACATGGACATGCCCCACTTTAGAGGAAGGGAGTTCAGGATCTGGGCAGAAAGCGGTATGGGCTTCCGCATTCCAGGAGTCTGGATGCGGTGCCAGAGGGTCGAGCAGTCATTTATCCAACACATGCAGTGTGCTGGGTGCTAAGAATTCACAGGGAAGGAGACACATTCGCTGCTTTCAATGGACTTCTTTGCCCTTACACTTGCAGAAGGGGTAGGGGTCAGAGAAGGCTTTCTAGAGGAGCCAATG